TCACGCTCCTTTTGATGCAGCCCAGGATGCGGTTGGCTTTCTGGGCTGTGAGCGCACACTGAAGCTGGCTCATGTTCATTTTCTCATCGACCAACACCCCCAAGTTCTTCTCTGCAGGGCTGCTCTGAATCTCTTCTCTTTCCAACCTGTAGCTGTGCCTGGGATTGCTCTGTCCCAAGTGTAGGACTTTGCAGCTGGCATGATTAAACTTCATAAGGTTGGCATCAGCCCACCTCACAAGTGTGTCGAGGTCCCTCTGGATGGCATTCCTTCCCTCCAGGGTATCAACCGAACCACACAGCTTGGTGTCATCGGCAAACTTGCTGAGGGCGCACTCAATCCCACTGTCCATGTCAGCGACAAAGATATTGAACGAGACCGGTCCCAACACCGATCCCTGAGGGACACCACTCGTTACTGGTCTCCAGCTGGACACTGAGCCATTGACCACAGCTCTCTGTGTGCGGCCATCCAGCCAGTTCTTTATCCACCGAGTGGTCCATCCATCAAATTGATGTCTATCCAATTTAGAGACAAGCCCCAAGTTGTGTGAGACAGTGTGGAATGCTTTGCACAAGTCCAGGTAGATGACGCCAGCTGCTCCACCCCGTCCATCAGTTCCATAGCGCCATCGTAGAAGGCCACCAAATTCCTCAGGCAGGATTTCCCCTTAGTGAAGCCATGCTGGCTGTCACCAAGCACCTTGTTGTTTTTCATGTGCCTTAGCATGCCTTCCAGGAGAATCTGCGCTAAGATTTTGCCAGGCACAGAGGTGAGACTGACTGTTCTGTAATTCCCTGGGTCATCCATTTTCCCCTTCTTGAAAATGGGGGTTATATTTCCCTTTTTCCAGTCGTCAGGAACTTCACCTGGATGCCATGATTTTTCAAATACGATGGCCAGTGGCTTAACAACTTCATTTGCCAGCTCCTTCAGGACCTGTGGATGGATTTCATCAGGTCCCATGGACTTGTGCATGTTCAGATTTTTAAGATGGTCTCAAACCAGATCCTCTCCTACAGCGGGCCTAAGGTCTTCATTCTCACAGTCCCTGCCTTTGCCTTCCAAACAATTTTTTTGCACACAACTTCGTTAGTCCAGAGGTCAGGTGTACAAGAACTTTGAAGTTTGAAATTAGACCCTGGCTGGGCTTCTGAAATGGTTAGAAACAAGATAGTTGGGGTAGATATTTACTTCCCCACTTTTGCCTTAACCTAGTCAGTCTGTCAGTTATTTTGTAAGTCAGGGATGAATTTCTGGTGTCATTTTTTCCAATTTTCTCTTTCATGATTGGGATTAAAAAGCCTTCTACTCTTGTGTTGTTTTCTATTATTTGAACTCAATAACTTTCTACTTTTTGATACATGAAAATAATTGGATGATGATTGGATAAATAATGCAGCTCAAAACAGAGTAGAGCTGAATGAATAACAGATGAAGATTACTCTGTTAGTGTAATAAGAGTGAAATACATTTTTTCCAGTTAGTATAATAAGAGTGAAATACATTTTTTCCAGCTGGGTAGGGTTCTGAGCTAATGTAATCTTTTTACCCCTTTTCTCAGGGAAAAGAAATCTTGATGTGCAGAATGAAACTGAAATAGTGACATGGAAAAATGCAGTTGCTCTTTGCATGTTTTTGGTAGCAGAAGCAAGAAGAAAATTGAGGAATAACACAAACTAACATCTTTTGGTGTTGAAGCAATTCTTAGTGCTAATGGTGTACAACAGGAGACTCCTATACGCTGTGAGACCAAAATCTAGTATGGTGATAATAAGACATAGTAAAAACAGCAAAAAGCCACCAGTACTGTTGGGCTCATATTTCGCTGAGAGATGGAGTGGCTGCAACATTTGTCTCCCAGAATAGAAGCTTAGTAAATGCAGTGAATTGTCTTGAATCTCTTGTCCCTGCTTCTCTAGGGAAATGAATTAAGACTCTGTAGAGGAATAATGCAAATAACCTATTTATTTATTTATTCCCACCCCCTGGAAAAAGTAGCTTAATTCTTGCCTGTATTGAAAATCAGGTAAAATAAGGTTTAGGCTTTTATCATATGCAGAGATATTTCATAGACTCCACTAGGTTGGAAATAACCTTTAAGATCATAAAGTGCAACCATTACCTCAGGACTGCAGAGACCACCATTAAACCATGTCACTGAAGGCCTCATCTGCATGGTTTTTGAATGCTTCAGGGACGGCGACTGCACCACTGCCTTGGGCAGCCTGTTCTGATGCCTGACCACCCTCTCTGTGAAGAAATTGTTCCTAATATCCAATCTAAACCTCCCCTAACGTGGCTTGGGGCCATTACCTCTTGTCCTACTGCTTGTTACTTGGGACAAGAGACAGACTATCACCTCACTACAACCTCCTTTCAGGTAGCTATAGAGAGTGATAAGGTCCCCCCTGTGCCTGCTGTTCTCCAGACTAAACAATCCCAGTTTCCTTGGCCATTCCTCATAAGACTTGTGCTCTATACCCTTCACCAGCTCTGTTGCCCTTCTTTGAACCTGCTCCAGCAACTCAGTAGCTCTTGTATTGAGGTAGAAGCCTGTATATCAGTGGCAATTTAGTCTGAAAATAGTGTTTATTAACCATAATATATTAGACCTGAAAAGTTCAGCAATATGAAGGTAAGAGATATTCTGCCCTGAGTGATAATGTCAGGCTTGGTAAATGCCAGAAATACAAATGGAAAGGCAAATCTGTGGAAACAGAGAGCACACCAGGCAGGGTGAGGTAGGAGAGAGAGCAAGCAGCCAGAACACCAATGGAAGAGACCTACAGAGAGGCAAAAATTGTCTCTTACGTTGGTTTGTTGTTTTTCTCTATTTTAAAAAGACAACTAATATAGAATTAAAATTCTGGATTTCTTCCTTTGAATCTCCAGAGTAAAATTAGTATCTCTTTCTCCCTCAAATACAGAAGTCAGTTACAGAGCTTTATTCAGATGCTAGAGTTTGATACATTGGAAGTGTAAGTACATGAAAAGAGTATGTATAATTCTCACAATATATAAATTGGGGATTTTGTTTGGTGGTTTGTTTGCAGGTATTTTGACAGAACTTTCTTGCCTAGTGAAGTGCCTATATACCCATAGATGCCGCAGAAGAACGGTTGTACTTTTTTCTGATTTTAGTGAATTTTATTTGCGATTAGGATTGCTATAGAGTAGGTATATCTTAGTGGTATAAGTGAACGTACTTGCTACTGAAATGCAGCTGTTTCTGGGGATGTAGCATAGCTCTGCAAATACCCTGGAATAGTTTAGGATAAGTTCGAGAATAACTTACTATAGTGAGATAAGTAGAATGAATATACCAAACTGCACAAGGATACCTTAGTTTGTCCAAAGTACACTGGGTTGGAGAGTAACCATAAGGGATTCATGTACTATGTTGTCCAGAAAACTGTATCAGAGCATTATTTAGACAGTGCTTTTTATTTATGTAAAACTATTTCATTTTGTTTTATTGGGGGCCCCCAGTTTGACAAGCATTTAAAAGGTCTGATGATGCCTTCATGGTGTCCCTCTGAAGTACATCATGAACAGATAGTAATGAAATCTATCCTCTCTGTGTGAACTTTAAGAAAAAAAAGTAACCGGTTGCATATATTTAAGAGTGGATGTTACTTCTGTCCCAGCTCAGAAAGCATTTCCTCCAGATGGTAATAGCTTTTTCTTTTCCTGTATATTTATATAAATCTTGTTTGAAAATGTAATTTCTAATCAGCTGAGAATTGGTAGCATTTATTCCTTTTTATTGCAATCTAGCTTGTTAATTTGATAAAGAGTCTGTCAACATTTCTTTTGCATATCTTATTCCTTTGTGTGCTTTAAAAAAACTCCTTTTACACTGTATATTATTCAGCCATTTGTGGCTTGAAACACTGCCTAAATGCCAGCTTATGTTTCCCCATTTTCAGGCCATAGCTTTTTATGTCTGACAACTCGAGACTTGCAGCAATAACATCAAGTTCCTGCTATGCTTAGAAAAACACCACCCATTTAAAAATATCAACTGCCACCATTTTATTGCACAATGGATAGGTCTGCTTTGGGGGAGTTGCAGTATTTTGTTTGACTCGCTGGTTTTTATACATGACGTTTTTTATACATGAAGGTTTTTTATACATGAAGTTTTTATATAAATTCTAAAATGCTTTTGCCTTTCATGGCTAATCACTTTTTGGAAAAGTCAAAGTGGAATGTTTCTGGCGGACTTGCATGTGTAGGAAAGCCTTCAGAAAGTCCTTTCTGTATGTGCTCACTGTACTAATATTTAGCCAAAGTTTGCAGAGACTTCACTGCTTGGAAGTACTATCTCTTTTCTGTCACCAGTCTGATCTGTTAAATCCCAATGAGTGTGAAAAATGAGAAAGATCTTGGTTTGCTTGGCTGTTTCAACAGTATGTTGAGAATGACCAGATTGCTGGAGAAGACGAATCTCTTGGAAACCTCAACAGCTCAGCCTCCTCATCTGTAGGCACATCAAGCTCGTCTGAGTGTGTAAATAAAAATAAATAATGCAGTGAAAAAATATGCAGAGTATTTTGCTGAAGTGCTTCAATTTTGGATCTGCTATAACTAATTTAAATCTTCTGTAGAGATTTATGCAGGCAAGGGGTCAGGTTTATGACATTTGTAATTTAAAGCTTTCCTGCTACTACATCTTTTATACTTTATATTCTATCATGATACCTTTTTTCTGCAGAGAAAGTCCCTTTTATACTCCCTTCCTTTCCTCCTTTGAAGAGAACATTTTCTTCTCCATTTATCTGAGGTAGTGAGACCAGAGTAGCTCTGGATTCTTTAAATGAGTCTAATTGGGCTTCTTTTAGTATATGGAGGATCTTTTTTTTTGCAGAGGGCTTTCATTTCTTTGTGCAGTTGCTCTGTCGCCAGCAGTCCATATCTTACATGCTTTCTTAATTAAAAAAAAAAACAAAAGAGGCAAGCAATTATCATCCCAATGGCTGTGGTCTCTATTCCAGGCTGATTCACGGAGGGCAGCTGTTGAATGGCTTGGCGGGGCCAACTGTGATGAACGCGGCGCCGTTTCTTTCCACAACGTGGTTTTCTCCGGATGAACGTGCCACAGCAACTGCCATTGCGTCGCTGCTCAATTACCTGGGTGCCGCTGGCGCGTTTCTAGTGGGACCTCTTGTGGTGCCATCCCCTAATGGAACATCTCACCTTCCACTGGCATCGCAGAGCAACGCTGAGCACATCAAGGACCGCATTGAGGCTGTGCTGTATGCAGGTGTGGTTTAGAAATCAAAATAAAATTTAAAAAAACTCTAAAAGATTTATATGCCGTTGTATGTATTTGGGACTTGTGAAGCACTACCCTCTAGTGGTTGGTTTGCCCAGAAAACATTGGCTGACTGATGGGAAATAACAAAGTGGTAAAGTGTTACACAGGAATGTGTGTACACATGTGTACACACATTCCTGTGTAACACTTTACCACTTTGTTATTTCCCATCAGTCAGCCAATGTTTTCTGTTGTACCATCAGAAGTTTTAATTGTTTTTCCTTCTTGTGTAGGAAAGATGTTAAACTAGCTTTTTTTTATAGACTGATTCCAGAAGAAATATTTTAGTTGTCTGTATTGGCTGCTCTTAGGAGAAATGTCTTCTAGGCAATGTCTTCTTTCCCTAAGCTTCCAAACAGGTTTTTGCTTCTTGAATTTTCATTTAAAATGTGTCTATTACAGGTTGTTTTTTTTAACTTTTGTAGCTGTAGGGATGGAAATCCATAGTCTTTCAGCATTATATTCTTTCCTGCATTAAATCAGCCTTAAATTAAGGCTCACATATGCCTTTCAAATGTGATTATATTACAAGTATTTAAAAATCTAACATTGCAATTAAAACTCAGTAGATTTTTGTTTTAACTGAAAACTCAATAGCTCTTATGTGGTGAGCAACTTCAATGAAGTGGTTAACAGTTTAGTGGAAAAAAACCGCTGATATAAAATCCACCTGGCATAACCCAGATTACATAAATCCTTGCTCTTTTTCATGCATTGGCTTCTGTGGTTCTTTGTGTCATTTACAAAAATTAGCAGCAAAGATTTAAGGAAGCATTGTTGCTTAAGTGGCTTAAGTGTCTGTGACCTGATTCTTATTGGATATAAATTGGTATAGCATGAAGAGCAGCTGAACTTTACCATGTCATGGCAGTTGCATGTTTCTTTGGGGTTTTCCCCCCTTAGAATTGAAGCATCTGAACTGCAGCCAGGAGTTAGCCCTAAGTGTTCCAGAAGTCTTAAAGTGTATCTACTGTGTAGTTGATATGAAGGTTTATGGGATTGAGTTAGCTGTTTGTGATCATGATTGTGATCCTGGACATTATTCTCATGGAAATTTCTGCTGGGTGTGCCACTTTAATACTCATTTTAAAGAACGTGTGAGGAGTTGGATCACTATTTCAGCAAGTATTTTTGAGTAATCTACTTTTTACTAGACTCAAATGTCTTGGAACAACAAGGAAATTTGGGGTTGCTTAGGCCTTTTTCAGAGGTAAATATGTTGGACTCCAAAAATCTCATGACAGGCAAAACCAGCCAGTGTGAAAGAAGGAAAAATGAAGGCAAGTCGGCCTTTGTCCTGAGGAGCTAAGGGGAGAAAAAATGTAGAGATTAGACGCATGCATTAGCTCTCCCTCTCCAGATTTTCCATGAAGAGAGAATAATTCGTCTACTTACAGGAAGTACAGTTTTGCGCCCCAGACCACTCTTTTGAGTCTGATAGCACTAGAAATGTAGCTTTCAGCAGCCCATTAGATTGACTTTCTCTTCTCCTCTGGGAGGTTTTCTTAATCATTTTCTTCAGAAACAGGGATAGATCTTGCTTGCCACTAAGGTTCAGAGGTGTTTCTTGCTAGTCCCATGTCTCAGCATGGCTCTTTCTGAGCAGTTAGGATTTGGGAACATCCTGTAGACATACTGGGATTGTTGGTCCCAACAGAAGATGATCGTACAGCAGCTCTTCAGCTTCCTAGGAATTGTGTTTTATGAGGCATCAGTAGTTCTTAGTATTTGAAAGTGTTTTGAACAGATATAAATTCTTTATGCAGCTGCGTATGTGGTTGTTTCATACGGGGTATGTCTTTTCAGGAGCTACACCACCTTTAGCTGTTCAGGCAGTAAAAAAGAGCTGGTTCATGAATGTTACTACAGTGAATTGTGGTGATGGTAGCAAAATATCCAGCTGATTTAAAATTGATAGGAACTGATGAAGAGAAGGTTGCTTTGAATCCCTTGTAGGATTTTTCCTGCCTGTCCGGAGAGCTGAGGGAGCAAGGTCCCTGCTGTTTGCCTCCCCTGTGCTCTATGCCAGGTAGGCTCCAGAAGTGGAAGGAAGGCTGGCTTTTGATGGGTGACTGCCTCATGCCGGTTGTACAGCTCTGTTCACCTGTGTTGCAGAAAACACCTGGTAGGTGTGGTAAGGTACTGTTTGTCCCCTTAAACAGCTGGGCAGAAAGCAAAGTTCAAATTGACTTCGCAGATACTGGTAGATGTGTTACAAAATATAGGAGAACAGGGAACTGTCCCTTTCCCCCATTTTCTCAGTTAAGTGTGGTCAGGCTTGGTGTGACTTCTCCTTTTAGATGTCATGGAAAAGCCAGTTTCACAGGATGAGCACTCTGCATTCATAACGGAATAGTATTTGTGAAGGAGCTTGTTGCTTTTGTGTGAAGTAGTGTTAGATAAGCAGCCTCCAAAAGTTAGGTGATGATTTTTAAAAGACAGTAATGATGTGAATTGTTAACTTGGGATCACTAGCATACCAAGAGTGTGCAGATTTTCCAATGACTTAACCTCAAACTTGATTATGAGGCAGTTGCTTATAAACCCATTCTGAAATTGCTCTGTTAACTCCAGTCTCTTCTGTGTTTTTAATAAATTGCTGTTCCTTTATCTCAAACATGGACTAAGAGCTCAGCTGAATTACCACAGCCTCTTTCTGTGTTTTCTGTGTTGCTGCACGTTCTGGTTCCCGGCTGAAATAGTACAGATGAAGGAAATCAGGATTGAATTGTATTACCTGGATCGCATAAGGAAGCTTGAATTACTCTCATCTGTAGCCAGAGCTTTTAGCCATGTGCTTCCCTAAATATCAGTGTAAAATATTATTTGTTTAAAAAAAATTCATGTGTGTGCTCTTGAGTGCCCTTGTTCCCTCTCTACATTTCAGGACAAGATGGGGAGGAGGGTTTCTTGGTTTATGTAAGTTTTTGTGTTACAAGTAGCCTGTGTGAAGGAAAAAGACTTTGTATAAAGGAGGCTTGTGTCTCTGTAAAAGTGGTGTTTTCTTCTGTTTGTGGCTTCAGGGTCCCTGCTTCCTAGGCAGAGATGCAGGTGTCTCTCCAATTTGAGAGTCATGGATTACTGTAGTGCAGTACCTACCTTTTGTGAAGTATTTCAGATTCACTCCTTAACAAGAACTATACACAGCTGTGTTTCTGCACACTAACTTATGCTGATTTGCCCAGTTCTAAGTGCTTTGCTGCATTCATTGCACTGTTCAGAAGCCGATAGCTCCTGTTGAAGAGCTCCTTTTTTTGTGACTCCAGCTCCCTTGGACTCAGTACTGACCTATTTCTTACCTTTTCTCTTTTGCTTATTTCTGCTCCCTGCTTTCAGTTTGAAACTTGTCTTGGGACTGTATTTTTCTTTATCTAGTCTGGTAAATGAGGATGGAGATAAAGGTGTGGATTTCCTAATGAGGAAGGAATGCAACATGTAAGAGATTGTATGTGTTTGGAAGTACCTGGACTTTTGATAGGAATGCAAGTGTGATACACAAAGCTGACATGGCACTAGAGACTTTTATTCTTCAATAGAGGGAGCTGCTTTAGTTTCCAAAGTGAATTCTGCACTTCTGTGCATGAGGGCAGTGCTTGCGAGGCAAATTTGTTAGCCTGGAAAGTACAATACTGGGAAACATTAAAAGAGTTGCAAGAAGCTACTACAAGGACTGCATGCTGAATTTAATAATAATAAAAAAAAATTTAAGTTTTACTGTACTGCTCCTACTGCAGCAATTTGGCAGGAATCTTGAAGTAACGCATAGAATAGGCCCCAGATGGGCACCTGTTATGTAAACTATTACTGTGACTTAAAAAAATTATCAATGTGGTTTGAATTCTTTTGAAAAAAAACTAGCCTTTCCCCTTATGGCATTGCAGTATAATGAAGTTAAATAATAAGCACATCGGACAGAGTTTATGGGTTTGTGTGGTCACATCCTTGGTGGCTGTCAAGGTCTATCAATTATAGACTGATGGTTTGCAGTCTATAATCTTCCTTTAGTAGTTTATTAAAGTGTGTGTATGCATGTATACATATGTATAACTATGCATAGACCTCGATGCAGGAGAAGGAGATAAACAGCTTTTGACAAGCCTTGCTTTCCTGTCCAATATCATCCTGTAGTGACAAAGCATCTCACCCGTTTCTTGTAACTGGGATGATCACTTACGGCCAGTTCTTTGTTCACTGCTCATGGTCTCAAAAACAATGTATACAAAGATAGAAATTAATCTGTTTTCTGGAGAAGAGAGAGCATAGTGAGAAGGTCTAGTTAAAGTGCCCTTGACCCTCAGAACATGCAATTAGACCATAGCAGAAAAAGAGATGCTGTGTAATTCAAAATGAATCCTGTAGTATTTGATTGTGAAGAATGGCATTGTATGGCTTCAAAAGAAATTTAGTGCAGACTTTTTTTCCACATACCAAATAGAAGCATTCATTTCCCTTCCCCATCTCCAGCTGATGCATTTAGACTCCAAGTGTTATTTACTTTTAACTTTACTGAATTTATTTTCTTCTGTTTTAGCAGAAGAGCTGGCAAAGTGCCATGTTCATATTGATTTGTTAAAAAAGAGAAGAAAAAAGAAAATTGCAATTGAGTATCCAGCTCTGATGGAATTTATTTGTGGTGTCAGTGAACACATCTTTGTTATAAGATCACAGGTTCTTTTAAGATAACACACTTGAGCTGTACATTTTTCTCTCCAGCAGCAAAGAATCTTGTTTTCAAAGGGGATAGGAGAAATACTGGGAACGAGGACTGTGGAGAACACGATATACATTGTAAAAAGGCCTGTAAAACAAATTAATTAGACTGACTGTAGGTAGAGTTGTTTTTCCAAAAGATGACTGATGACAGGGCTTGCTGAGTGTTTTCTGTGAAGTGCTCAGCACTTTGCAAGTTCAGGTCCAAACTTCTGCTATGAAATTTTTCAGAGGTCTAGAATACCTGCTGCTGAACTAGGGAATCATCTGCAAACAGCTGTATTCTTTCATTTTACTCCCTATTACCCATGCTCTGTCTATTCTTGAGCCACGGCTGCTCCTATGCTTTTCTCTTAATAAATCTTTTGCCATATAATACTGTTTGTGTCCGAGATGCTGCCTTGATTGACCTTTCGTTTGTCATCATCATCCTGTGCACAAAGTAATTATCATTCCACACCCTGGGGCTTCCCCATTCCCATCTGTTTAAAGTCTCTAGCACGCTGTTACCTGCACTGCATAACTTCCATTGTGTGGAAATGTGGCCAAATCTTCATAATGCAGTTCTCTCTAAAGAGAAAAAGCAAAAGCTTTCTTTTTGCTTCACTGAATTCCCGATGTGTGAGACTGGTTCTCTGCAGCTCCTGTCACTTGAATGGACTGCCAATTTTTCTCCATCTCATTGATTTCCCATCTCAATTTGAAATCTTGCTTGGGGAGGAAAAAAGAAATTCTCCCTCAAGTTACGGAGTTCTGTTGTCAGGAGCAGTAAAGCACTTGTGGTAGGATTTACGTATCAGAGGCTGGCTGATAGCAGTGCTGTACCAAAACAGGTCTTTAGATGCTAACATCTGTTCTTGGTTTTGTTTTTCTTTGCCATCTTGTTTAGAATTTGGAATGGTTTCCCTGATATTTTCCGCCGCGTTGGCTTACTTCCCCTCGCGCCCTCCATTCCCTCCCAGTGTGGCTGCAGCAAGTCAACGGCTCAGCTACAGGAGAAGTTTCTGCAGACTCTTAAGGTAGGTCCTCATTGGGTTTCCACTTCAAAGCAGATCAGCACATAAGTAAATAAAAACAAGTGTGCTTTAATCATTGAGCAAACAAGTTGGTTTGTAGTGCTTTTAAACAAAATAAAATTAAATATTAATGCTAAGACATAAAAGGATAATAACTGCTAAAAAGCAGACATTAAATTTTAAATCATTGGCTATATCTCAAGCCGTCATGCCAGAGCTCTTCAGCACCTGCACTGCTTTTATTCATGCTGTTAGCACAGCTTTTCTCATGCAGTGCTTCTGTTGTATCTGGTTATACAAGATTAACAGTGTGCACCCTGCTAGGGTGAAGTAACAATTAACAACACTGGACATAACTAATTGATAAGCTACTTTCTTCCGTGCTTATTATATTGGAATGATTTTAGGGTTTGCTTGTCATTCAGAGGAGTATTCAGCTGCTGTCATTCAGCTGTGGGAGCAATGAATGAACTATCTGAAACCATTATATGATCTTTTAAATCTCATTGCTAGTATGTTACAATATGAAGTGGGAATAGGAGAAGTCTATCAAGATGTGTTTCTAAACAGGTTCCAAGGTGAGTTAGTTTCCTTAAAATTTTGTTTGCTTGTTTTTAAAAAAGGTTGTAAAGAAAGTGACATCTCCAGCTTTGCAACTTTTTCTAGTGGGGCTCTTGGTAAGACACAGTCCCACTCCACCACAGTGTTTGCATAATGTCTTATGTAGTGGGAATCGGATCTCAGATGAACAAGTAAAGCAACTGTAATATTAATGCTGAATAATTGTGAAGGCCTGTGCCCTGTACATGATACTGCACAGATTAATTTCCTCGGGCAAAGAAGAGCCACTCCCATGGTGCAGAATACGGCTGACTTCACTGGGGAGCTTCAAACTCTTGCTGTAATTGTTTCTTGGGTGATTTAATGCTAAGAGATGCGTCTATGTACAAAGGGCTTCTCGAAACTTAATAAATGTGGAGCTTTAGGCATTTAGCTATTACGGACCTATTGTGGCTGTGCTTGCTAAAACTATTTAAAGCTAGCAAAACCATCTAATTCCTTCTTGTGATTTTTTTCTTTTTTTTTTTTTTTGAGGTTTTTATTTCAGTTTTGGGAAGTAAATAGTTGACAAGATGTTTAATCCTGTGTGTCCTTGAACAGGCTGGCAGTTGGAAGGAGGTGTGAGTACGGCTGGCTGGTTAGTCAGCAAAGTGACCTACTCAGGGTATTAAGAAATTGCAGTTCCCATAAGGACACTTGGCACACACAGTAATGCCGTTACGCACCCAAGCTGGTGTGTGGTGAGACCATGCCTGAGGGTTGTGTTGTAAAAATGTTGCTGTTGAACAGAAATCCAAACAGCAACTGACCCTGAAGTTTAAATATAAAACTTTTGTTGACAGTACTCCATTTGGGAGCTTTATAACCATTAGATTCCGTGTTCACAGTGTTGTAAACAGTGGACCTGAGATACTGTTAAGGTCAGGAGGTAAACAGCAAAGCTGGCTTACTATTCACAATCAATGAACCTGAAGAAAACAAGCTAGATGCTTAAATAATGAGGATAGTTTATAGTGTCTCCAAGAACCAACAGGGCTTTTAAAGTGCAGTCAGGTAGATCATTATATCTCCCTTCCTTCAGGGCTTTATGCATTCTTTCATGCTACCTCTTATCAAAGGCACTTCTTCATTCCTCTGTACATGAAACAATCAACAGTTCATCATTAAACCCACATATCTTAGGGAACCTTTCAGGAACAATCCATCAAGCAAGGGGGGTTTTACAAAAGAAAATGGTATCTGCTGTGTTTCAAGAGAAATCCATCATCTGATTCATTAGGATTTTAAGCTCTGTTGCCTGCCTAATCTAGGGTTCATAGTTCTTGGCACAGAGAGCCTTTCTTTTGACTTAGTGGTGTAGACTGAAGCTAATCAGCTGATGAGTAACAGGAAATCATATTTTCCCCGTACTGAAGACTTACCCTCTGGTATAAAACTGTGTAAGGCATTAAGAACGTGTGTAAGTTAGTGGGCTGACCCAACTGTGCACCAAAAACCACTCATGATTATTGAGATGTTCATAATTTTACTCTTCTCTTTCCCCCAAGCTGCAGTTTTATTACTTCAAAACAAAGCTGCGTAGCATAACTACCATTGAAGTCATTGATCTTTTTCTTTGAATGCTGAAGGGATCCATGACATCCTTGCAACTCCCAAACTCCTTCATGCCTTCAGGCCCTTGAGCAGTCATCTTCATGAGCTGCTTTTTGCTGAGTTGTATTTATACATATCTTTCTTAGGGTCAGCCATTCCCTATAGGCCATTTTGGGGGGACTTGCTTAGGAACTTGGTGGTTCTTCTTGGTTTGGAGGATTCCTGTTTCTGACAGATTAGAATGATTAGCTGATCTCTGGTTATCTCCTGATACCAACTCTCTCAGCCTGCAGTGGGAGTTGACAGGTTAGTCATGGCTGGGGACCTAGATCTAACTCTTTTAACAGTCTGTCACACACTGTGACAAGTGTAGCTTGAATTTCTGTTACAAAAAGTACAGTGCCTTTCTGAGTTTCTTGGGTGAAGCAAATAAGACTTTTTTTTTCTTTTTTCCCCGTTTCAGAATATGCCACAAATTTCCATGGAGAAAACTTAATATAAGTAAAAAAAAGTTAGCAACTCTTAATATCTGCATCAAGTAAACATGTAGTGATTTTTGCTTTGAAGTAATTAGATGTTTTTAGCCAGTTACATGCATTTTATATTTTAAAGGGACTGTGTAAGCAATTTTGAAATTTCATAACAGAGTTCTTGTGCATCATTATTTCTTTAATGAAACTTTCATATGACATCACCATACATGATGGAAGCTGTTCAGAATGTGCATGATGTTAATAGGCACTGTCAAAGTTATTCTGAAAATGGTGACTGACTTTGATGGGGCTCCCACCTGGACCACCCTGTTGCACGGATTCTAGTGGCATTAAGTAGGTTTCTGAAAAAACACCAGAAGAAAAAGCCAATTCATATTTCCAGCAGAATGGTTTAACAGAGAGAGGCTAATGGTGATATCCTGTCATAAGGGCTGATACGATGGAAAACAGTGTGGTTTCACCAACTGATGGTGTGACAGACAGCATATTTTTCTGTTTTCAGTGGAGCAATTGCAAAATTGCAAAACAAATACAAGTGACTGGCACCATGAAAAGCAGAACTGCTACTTAAGTTGTGTGTTTCAAATGGCTTTAGCACTTACCGTAGCCAGCATTTAGCTATTGCTGGACAAGGGGGACAGAATGACATCTAGTGATTGGTGCAGATTTGTCACTGCCATGCACCCTTTCTCCCGATTACCTTCCATATTCTGGAAACAAGGCAAGGTGCAGCCTCTGTCACTGAAGGATGTCATTATGCAGAGCTGGTTTTCTAGTATTGGTACTAGGGGTTGGACATGGCACAGAGCAGCTGTCCGACATGCCAGTCTATCTTGTTGCTAGAGTTACAAAAGACAGATACACCACTGGAGATCTCAGTCAAGTAACTTACAAAGTACTCAGCCCCTCAAAAGTAGCTGTTTAATGAAGATGAGATTCAGGTAGCCAAAGATTTTGAATACTGAGCAAGTATTTTGGAAGAGTGAATTCAGACTTTTTACTTCTTTGCAATCTATGACATGGCTATATGATGTTTATGCTAAATGGGCACTTCCCTTTTATTTTATTCTACAGATGTTGAATTAGCTTTTACATGAGTAGTATCAAATAGCATCAGAAACCTGCTTTAAGAGATTACAAATGATACAAGGTAGACTAGGATAAGAGTATGGCATTCTTAAGAGAGAGAAAAAACATTGTCAGGAAGACAGCAAACATTTTAGTATTCAGAGAAGTGCAAACAATGTATAGAAGAGCTGAAAGCTTGGGAGTTGCTTTTCTTTGCATTAAAAAATAAATCTGACACAAATTATATTGAAAGAGGAGGATATGTTCATGTGATAGAAATGTGTTATTCAAAAAGAGGATGTGTGAAAAAGAACAGTGAGAAAAAATGCTGGCTGGTGTGCTGTGCATGGATCTTTTAGGAGAGTAAAACCATGCAAGCTGCAAGCCTCTGAATGTTTTGAAGAATCTTTAAAGCTCTTTGCCTCCCTCTTGGCTTTCATAGCTGTGTGCTATCAAATTGCTGATGCATGCCAAGGACCTGGTGCTGATCAAGATCAATTTTATGTAAATTGTTTGTGAAATGGGGGAAGCACATTTTATGGTTACACAGATATTCCATGGGATAAGCTTGGAATCACCATAAAATCTCTTCACTTTAAAATATTACTGTTGCAGAGTTAAAAGTATATTTTTCTGTTTTTATTCCCAAATCAAAAGATTTTTTGAGGAAAAGTTGGATGTCTCTTAGCAAAGATTTCACATTTGATTTGGTTACGGTGGGTGGGAGAAATTGATGGTGGTATTTGTCTGCCATCTCCTGTTTACAACGTGTACGATGAAAATGATCATAGAATCCACTAGGTTGGAAATGACCTTTAAGATCATCAAGTCCAACCATTACCCCAGGACTGCCAAGTCCATCACTAAATGGTATCACTTTTTTGAACACTTCCAGGGATAGTGATTCCACCTCTTCCCTGAGCAGCTTGTTCCAATACCTGAGCACCCTCTCTGTGAAGAAATTTTTCCCACTATCCAATCTAAACTTCCCCTGGCACAGCTTGAGGCTATTACCTCTTGTCCTGTCACTCGTTACTTTGGAGAAGAGACTGACCCCCACCTCACTACAACCTCCTTTCAGGTAGTTGGAGAGAGTGATAAGGTCGTTGTCCCTGTCCATCCTCCCCGCCCTGCCCGAAGCCTTCTCTTCTCCAGACTAAACAATCCCAGTTTCCTCAGCTGTTCCTCATAAGACTTACTCTCCAGACCCTTCACCAGCTTTGTTGCCCTTTTCTCGACAGGCACCATCACCTCCATGTCTCTCTTGTAGTGAGGGGCCCAGAACTGAATGCAGTACTCGAGGTCTGGCCTCACTAGTGCCGAGTAAATGATGACAGAGCTTTGACTGCTTCATCTTCCACTGAATACTAAAGGCTGAATAATTTTAATTGGGAGGAAAAAGTAAACATGCTGACTATTTAGATCAGAGCATTATACTTGTCTCTGTTTTTTGACAGTTCAAACTGTCAAATTTTTCCACTCTTGCTACTGTACCCATCTTGGTTTCCAGAGCTTTCCCTGCCTTTCACCAAAATAAAGAGAACTAAAACAGATTAAAAAGAAGAAAAAACACAGCTCAAAAAGCACGACCCTTGATTTTATTCTTGAAGTATGTTTTTTGTCATTCAAATTAGTACTTACTATTCCTAACATACACTTAGGCTAAGTAGGTTGCCCATGCTGATGCTTGGAAGAATTGCATGTGGAAATGAGAAATACGTGAGCCCAGCATGTTACAGAAATCTTTGAACTATATGAAGAGACTGACATTTTTGATGTCACAGTGTTAAGGCAGTAGCATCTCAGCCATTGGAATTTCTGTGACATGGCCAGATACCTTTCTTGATTTTTGTGGCTCACTTCTCCTTCAGACCTCTGCTGGTTTTTGTGATGGGCAGAATATAGATTCTAAGGTGTCATTTACTCTAGCAGCTAATCTTGGTGAAGTTTCTAATATAAGCTGCAGCTAATTGCGTATGTTTTGTCTTCGCAGCAATTTCCGATTCTTGATGATTGCTTTAGCCTATGCTATACCTCTGGGTGTTTTCTCTGGCTGGTCTGGTGTTCTGGATTTGATATTAACGCCAGTTCACGTAAGCCAAGTGAGTATCTCCTAACTGATATTCAGCAGCTGTTTTGTAAGTGGCATTTTTTATTTTGCACTAGCATATCATTTTATCAGGTTCTTCTGTTTGGACCACTTTTCTTCTGAAATCTTAAAGAAAATAAACTATAGCTTTGGCATCCCAAAGTGTCACGATTCTCCCTGCTAACTCTCCACCAGCGGTGGGTATTTTCAGAATTATACAAACCTTTGGACAGGAAGGAGGAATCAGGTAAACAAACAGGAGTATTGTTGGCTGCTGCACCTTTAGTGAAAGAAAATAACGTTTACCAGGTAGAAATGATGAAGTGGGGAGAAGAGGATTTCCAAGCTTTTGATGGAGTATTATAAAAATGCAGAAATCATTACTCAGATTCTGTGAAGAGGTCACATTTCAAGCACAGGCTACTTAATCATACTTTCTTTAAGTGAATTTATTTCCTTTTGAACATGCTTGAAAAAGTCTACTCAGATTGTGGTTGGGCAGTGTTAGCAGTTTGCAGCTCCTCACACCATTTGTTTTGAAAGTAACATTTTATCATCTTATTTTTTTAGCTTTAACACATTTCTCTGTTTTGATTTGTTTGTGGTTTTGTTTTTTTTTCTTCTGTCAGGTAGATGCAGGCTGGATTGGATTTTGGTCTATAGTTGGAGGCTGTGTTGTTGGCATAGCAATGGCAAGGTAGGAATAATTACAGGACCTTCTCCATTTCTTCAATTGCGATTGTCATTTAGCTTATCCTCTTAATAACATAAGTTGTTCTCTCTCATTTTCCAGAGGCTTGAAATTCAAAATGCATTCTGGGGTTATGATGTGTTTCTTGTACAGCAGTAATTTGTATGTTCCATGTTAGTGGTTGCTATGGGTTGAGAAGTCCACATGGGTATATCTCAAAAAGTCATACTCCTGATAAGTGCTTCCTCTGTGCTCCTTTTAAACACAGTTCTTGTGAATTCAGCTGCCTGGTATGAGGGAGAACCCATTGTAGTACATTTGGAAACCATTAGAGAAATGAGCATCAACATCCTTCCATCAACACTTTTGGGCATACTGATTTCTGAAGGGGTATTTAGAATGCAGCACAGGTGACCTACCCAAAATAACAGTACTTTCCTCCACAGAGAGATTAGTCTGGGCCTGTTTAGGCCAGTTGCTGGATTCTTATATGGCCTAAAAATTCTTTCAGGACGTACTTTCACAGTGAGTTTATAAAGCTGATTAGTACCAATTGCATGTTCCCCTTGCATCGGGATAGCCAAGCACTATTCTAGCTTCTCTCTGTCCACACTTTAGACTCTGGATCTGCAATGAGCTTAACACAAGTGCAGAGCTGGTCATCATTGCAGTCACTGAGTCTGTGGACCCTGAGAGGCATCTTTTAGGACAGAAATTGAAGCACGCTCTTGTTTGTTTGGTTTTTTGTTTGTTTTTTTTTTTTCCCTGCTTGCTGTTCATCCTCAGAGTACACAATACATAAAGAAATGTGAGGTTTATCATCCTGACATTTTGCAGGCTGCCTAGCAACTGTGATGGAGGGAGAGGAAAAAACTCCTGACGTAGGGAAAAGAAACAAGCACTTCCCTCTCATCTGCTCCAGATGCAGGCCGGCCAAAGGACTTAAGCTGTTGAAACAAAGTTCATACTGTGATTTCCTCTATATGAGCTGCTTTCGAGTAGCTCTGCTCAGATACGAGTTTTTCTCCCTAAGAGAAGTTGATATTTAAAACCAACTGCTGTAAATGGCACAGATGCTGTAGCAGGTTACATGCTGAAGCAAGTAGCTGCCCAGTTTCATCTCTTCCATCATGAGTTAATCTCTGGTATATTTGCAGTATTTCAATAGTAGAGGGGCACCCTTAGCAGCTCACTTAACTTTGTTAGGACAGAATCTGCTGACTCAATGCCAACATGCGAATCTCAGTCTTCATGGTAGATTAATTTATTTAATATATTGCCTGGGTTAAGTTTCAGGAAATGCTGACAGTCTTTTTTAACTGCTTCAAAACTGACATCAAATCTGTTTGAATACCAGTATTTTGTAGCATTCAGAGCTTTACTTTTAAGTAAATTAAAAAACCACCAATAGGCTGTCTCCAAATATGTCTTTCTAACTTGGGTGATACGCAGTTCAAATGGGAAGGTTTGCATACAGAAAGGGAGGGAGGAGATGATCTGTCATTTGTGATGGATGACTCTCCTTCCTAGGCTTATTCAGCATTTATCTATGTAGGGTTGAATCAATGACGAGTCTGACTGTAATCTGCTGAAAGTTGTAATTAGGAAAATTAAGTAATGATTCTTGTCCAGGCTGACAAGTTGATGTATTTCAGTGTCAGAACTATGATTTGCCAAGCAAGCAGCTCTCTCCCTTAACCACCTCTCAAGAAGCTGTTGCTTTTGGGTTGGGTTTTTTTTTCCCCTTTTACTTTTTTTCCTGCTAATTTATCAAAAGCAAAAATGGTGCAGCTCAGGAATTTGCTCCTTCCATTTTTGTCAATGCAGATTCTGCCATTTAGAGCTGTAACAACCTGAGCCCTGCCCTGGAGCATTGGCTCCTGCACATCACAGTGGGTGTTAAATCATCTATATTTGATGTAATGTGCAGTTTGAAATTTGTTTATCTCATTTTTGAAATGGCGCAAGTTTTCCTCAGCACAATACATAAATCCTCCTGCTATCCACCCACTGCTGTCCCAGTTGCTGAGAACTTAGATATGTTTAGTTAATTTGTGTGATGCATTTTTATAATTGAAAAGCCTGGGCTATTTTTGGCAGCTTTCAAATGTACCCTTTGCTGGCAGCTTTCAAATGATATTGGTTTGAAGAAAAGCAGTGTCAGAGCGACATTCATGTCCTTGCATTGAAGCATAAATCTGTTCCTCTTTCTCAGATTTTTTTTTTTTTTGCCACATTTTCTAATGTTCATAGGTGTTTCTGAGTTTTTGTCCTCCATGGCTCAATTTTTCTTCCTGCTTTTAATTTGCAGTGTAGTCAAAATGCTGAAATGTGTTAATTTCCTTAGCAAGAGAGAGTGTTGTCAGCAACACAGGTTTGTGATTTTAACTCTGCTATCCAGCCTAGGACTGGATTTGCTGGTTTGCAGGCTTTACCAACAGTAGTTTCAGAGGTCTGTGTGGGGGTAAGTGTACACCTTCTCTCTTGGTGTGCCTGCTTTTTTAGCAGCTGCACATGTCCCCTTACATGCTAGATGATAAAGAAGGATTTAAACAGAACACAGGGGTTTGAAAGAAGACAGAGGATAAAAATAATTTATCTCATTTTTTGATTGAACAGTTACTAGATTTACAGTCATCTTTATTGTCCTGTAAGCAGACAAGAAGCGGAAGTCCCTCAATAACCACGTTCAGGCTAGTTTCCTATGTCAGTTTTTTCCTGTTATTCCAGTTACTGGCTGAATTGGGTAGCTGCATAAACCATTAAGTTTTTATTTGACCCTTCTGGAATCCTGTGATATCTGTGAGCTCCTTGGCACATACTGCTACCACTGATACCCAGACCAGGATCTTTGTGTCAAAAAGGGTTGCAGCTACTCAGTAGAGTACTTGCTCTATAGTACTTGCTTCATTTAACTGTCTTGAATGGTTTAGTTGCATATGATCATCCCATCCACACATATCCCTGGTGGTAGGATGGAGATAGAGGACACCCTAGAGATCCCTTTCAGATCTGTTTTATGTAAACATCCTTCCTTGGAGGCTGATATTTTCTCACACGGTGTTTCATTAGATAGAATCATAGAATCATTAGGGTTGGAAAGGACCTTAAGATCAGCAAGTTCCAACCCCCCTGCCACGGGCAGGGACACCTCACACTAAACCAGATAGGATATGCGTGACTGCTCTTTGCTGTAAGGAGAGGGAATACTGATGTTGTCTGCAGGCAGGCAAAGTGGGGAGTCTCTGTGGAGGAAGCCAAAAGTTTGCGCTTTGAGATACTTCTGAAACTCTTTAAAATAGCTGATTCTGACCCCAGTGGTCCTAAAGAATAATTAAAGAAATTGAAAAACCACTGAGAAGAGGTGATCCTGATTGCTGGATTTGGATTGTCAGAAAAAAACAACAGTGGCAGCTGACCTCTGACTATTGGAGACTAATGCATAAGCTACTTGAACGCTGCAGTCATAAACTTTTAAGATGATGTGCAGCATTGATCTTCTGTTGCTGCTTATTGAATTACTTGCTGCTAAATTCAGTATGGAATTAAAGCACCAGGACAATCAAAATAAGAGGAAAGAAGTAGGTCTTTTGGATTTTATTTTTTTATTGCAGTACTTGTACATCTCTTATGGTGTATGTGGCACTAAAATTCCTAGTTCTCAAAACGTCAGTAGCATTATCTCTTTTAACAAGTAAGCCATAAGGTATCTCCCTGTAAAGTGATCTTTGTCAGGGCAAAGAAGGCAGTTAGCTGACAGATGGACATAGTTCATCATGGACCAACCTAGGTGGATTAGCTGCCATTAGGCTAATCAAGGTGGGAGGCTATGAGGGGAGAAGATACTCTTTAGACATGCATTCCTAATCTGTCCAGCCCAAAATCACATCTGAACAGGAGATTATAGAAAATCACTAGTGGATGAATGACATTGCCTTTTCTAAGAATACATCTTTTTAAGTAGCTATGCTGAAATTCCTCTTGAGAAGAGCAGTTGCACTGATAATTATGCCATAGGAGAGCTGCTCAAATGCATTCTGTCTCCTTGAAATAAAAAGGAACAAAGATAAAAAAAAAACAACTGTCCCATCAGGTGGTACAGTCAGTGGGGAATGTGTAGGAGTGGAGTGACACCAAACTGTAGGTTTCTGGAACATTCCAACCCAAAACAGCCACCGGCAGAGTGACCGCTGCATGGAGTTCCTGTTTTGGCTAAGCCACCAAGAGCTTCATTGCCAATGCATCCACGGGTTCAGAAGCTGTTCCTTGTCACCTTCATTCTAGGAATTCTGGTATTTGGAGTTTTGTCATTTCCCACAGGAATGAATCTTGATACTTAACTATGTCTTGAATGAAATACAGCAGCCTCCTCGTATGCTAATTGAGCAGTGTGTCTGCCAAGGGAGACTGGCAAACACTGACAGAGCAGCGATGTAAGTAGTGGTGTGATGTTGTGTCCAACAAATGCAGAAGAAAAAATAATCCTTCCTATATACCAAGTGTTTTCAGTTGATGTTTTGAGAATTGTCCTGGTTTGGTTGTTATTTTGTGGCAGCTAAAAAATCCAAGGCTCTTCAGCTTGACAGCTAAAATACTACCATTCTATAAAAATGCCTTTTATCTATTTCTGAAAATGAGAAAATATTCTTAAATTGTTTTTATAATCTCCAAAATATTTAATGAGAATACAGTGGATTAATTGTCAAGCATCACATATTATGAAAATCAGCATTTGTCCTGGTCTGATTTGTGCTTTTATTTTAGATTTGCAGATTTTATCAGGGGCATGCTGAAGTTTATACTGCTGCTGCTTTTATCTGGAGCAACATTAGCATCAACCTGGTTCACTCTCACCTGTCTAACTAGTGTCACTCATCTGCCTCTAACCACAGGTATTGACAATTATTTTAATTCCTATTATTGATAATTAGTATATCAAGCAAATATTTGCAGTCTTACATCAACTTTATTGTAACTTGGTTTGGTATCTTTAGTTATACTGTAGTTTTACCAAGACTGTTGAAGCTGAAGGATCTTTACCAGCTTTGAATAACTTAAAAAAAAAAAAAAAAAAGATTAAAAAATAACAAAACCCAATAATAAAATCCCAGAACTTACATTTAAAATTGATTTTGGGACTGAGTGTTTTTCTGATTTGACTGGTTTGAAATAACAGAGGTGAGAAATCAACCAAGAAAAATCAGATGAATGCAAGTGGTGCTGTGTGTAAGAAACAGTGACATGTCTGGGAATTTAAGGTTTTGAAACTTACATTAATTATTGGAAACATGTGATGCAGTTCAAACCAAGGTGACCCATAGTATTTTCAACCATCTGAATCTATCCCTGAGCTGTGCTGTCCTTTTTGCACCTGCATGAAGGTTCAGGGAACTCTTCCAGCCCAAAATTAACTCAGCTCGTGCCTCAAAAAGATGGGGAAAAAAGCTGTTGGCAGGAGTGGGGGAAAAGCTCAGAGGTCTACACAAGTTGCCAGCGAGCTGTACCCTTAGTTGGAAATTAGCACTGCTTAGTTCTTAGAAATCTGTCCTTCACTTCACTATCTGCACCAAAGGATTCATCCCCTGTGATTCCAAGACCTTGAACAGAGTAATGCATTGCAATAAAACTAAGCCATCAAGATTTTTAAAAATTATTTATTCAAGAATTCTGTGCATCCATTTTAAAGAAAGTGCCATCTTTGTTATAGCAAGTTTATGCATTTAGGAGAATTTATTTTTTTTTTTCCCATTTTAGATCAAGAGTTTGGTGTGGAGATAGAATATAAAATACTGGTTTTCTCAAATTAACTTTGTGTTTCAGTAAGGGTCCTTGGTTCATCGCATATGTCATAACCAAAAACTAAAGTGGGTACAGCAAATTGAAATACATGATCAAGTCAGGAGAAACACCATCTGGATGGATAGGTCAAATTTGTGATTTATCTTGAAATTTCAACTTAAAAAAAACAAACTAAACCACACAAAACCAAAAATGTAATTAAATCGATAAATCAGATTTCATGGTGGCTGTTGTCATACCAAATGACTGCACTTTTCCATCAAATCTAAAATAAACGCAATAAAAGGTTATTTCTTGTGTTTGCCTGTTTCATCACTACAAGCCTGCAGTAATGTGAATTTTTACAGTAACTCTATCCTCTGAATTGATGTAAGAAGCCAAACACATAAATGTCCCTTCAAGTCTATGCATAAGAATGAAGCGGAAAGGTTTCAAGAGGTGAAAGTCATTACGTGTGTACTTGCCGATGATCCAAAACAAAACTGATGGAGCTCTGCCTCTGATTTTATTTTTCTGTAAAGAACTCAGCAATGTGGGTTCTAGGAGACTTCTTATACGTTCACAGCATATAGGTGCATTATGGTGGGGTTTTTGGAAAGGTGATCTGTTGTCAGAATATGAGAGTATGTAAGGTATTCAGGTTTTGATGTAAAGTATCCTAAGCTAGCATCCCTTGACAAAATTCCAGGGATTGCGTTGTTCTTTTCATGCAGTTATAATTTCTTTTAAAATGGACGGTTCCTTAGATTGAGTTGTAAATTATGTTTTATAGTTTTCTGTTTGTACTGTTCTTATATATCATTGTAAATGGTGAACCTTTTTCTGTAAAACTCAACCTTGTTTTGCATAGAAGTGCCAGCAATATGGTGCATTCCTCAGAAAGTGCAATGTAAAGCATCAGGGCGTGATGTGCAGCCACCAAATCAGATCTCTTTTTTTCTTTTGTGGCATAACATTTAAACTTCATAGAAACGTGGGCAGGGGTTCATATCAGCCTTTTCTCATTAAAGTTTGTATAAAATAGATGTAATGTGCCTATTCAATTTATATCCTTGTGCACAGAAAAGCAGTGGTGTATTTTTATGAAATATGCTGTTACGGATGAAAACACACAAGCTATTTAATCTAATTTATAGGACTTCATGCTAGATTATTCCTCAGTGTAATGATGCAATATGATGATGACCTCTGCATTGCACAGTAATTGGGAGAAACAGTACATTTGAATTGATTTGGATGAACTTCTTTTTTTCTTCTTTTAATTAAAAGTTTGAGATGCAGGTTATATCAGAATATAGATATAGGAGGTCAAATGCAGGCCGTTGACAGCTGCTTGATCCACCACAGGCAGACCTTGCCAGTGGTTTCCCCAGGTCCAAAAAGAATGTTTTCCTTTAGTATGCGGATATTGTGTGGCATACATGCTCATTCCCCTCTTCCGAAAACCCTCTGCCTGCCTCTCACCTGGTCTCCTGAGTAAGCACTCAGGTGGGTACATTTGCATAGAAGCAGGCTTTTGAAATGCTGAAAAGAGGAGGAGGTTTGGCCAATAATTTACTCTAAAGGGGAGGGAAGAAAATCTCTGTAAAAAATTATTTTTAAAATATGAACCAACCAACTCCCATCTTTTAATCAGTATTCATTGTAGCAATTGTAGTAATGTCTGGTTTAAATATTGGTGGAAGAACTGTATTTGAAGAAATAGTCACAGCAAAATGTTTTTTCCTCCACTTGTTTGTGTAATATTCTAATTCCTTGTAAGTAGGTACGACATCATGTAAAGGTATTTCCTTCAAAATGTAATTACTTAGAGTAGAGACCTTTAATGCAGATATTAAAAATCAATGACTGCTTTGTGTTTTCTTTCAGTGATAGTTCAGCATTGTTTGTATTGTGTAATGTAATGCCTGCACTGCTATGCATTATCATAATATGCTCCATTTTTCTCCTGCCACAGAGCAAGACAAGTTTTCTGTCATTTGCTGGCTTCTTAATGTATCTCCAAAAGGCTTTTTAAAAAGTGTATTTGGAGTCACGTGTATGAACTAGAACTGCCAGTGTGGGGTAAAAAGGAAAGGCAATAATGATATAGTGCCATCATAGCTACCATATCAACTGTCTACCTCTCATCAGCTAATCACAGCTCTTAAAAACCCCTGATTCTGGAATTAGTTTATATTTTAAGCAAGTTTGAATTTTCTTTTAAGAAATCTCAATTTTAGTGTATATTATTTGCATCTTTCAACAAGATTCAAAGACAATTTTATGTACACTTTGAGCATTAAAATAGTTTTCTCCACTGAAATCCCAGTGCAGCTGCTGATCGGTTTCTCCTGTGCCGAGTTCTTTGTTAGCTTGCTTTGTACTGAACTTCATTATGTGAATTTATGTACAATGGGATACTTTGACCCAGCATAATTGTGTAAGGCATTGTAATGCCAGTTTCAGATTCTTGCCACTTTGTATTGCTGATAGTATCTCTGGATACAAATACTAGCATTTTCCAAAAATGGATATGCAACGCTTTCAGCTCACAGCTCAGATTGTTTTCAGCGCAGCATATCACAAATATTCTAATATTTATGAGCACATTCAGCAGAATTTTGCTTTACAAAATCTTTTCTAGTGCTGCATGGCAGAAACTCTGAATACAGTGGCAATGTCTTGAGTTGATGACTATATTCAGGTTAAGCAGCCTATCCTTTATTTTCAGGTTCAACATCTTGAACAGTATAAACATATCTGTCTCCTTGTCCTCATCTGTAAAGCACAGTATTGAAAAAGAGAGATGTTAATTATACAATACTGGTTGTTTTATTCTTTGAATTTTATTTCTGTACTATAAACAAGATGTGCTTGATAAGTATAAGGCAGGAGGACCCAGAGGATAAGGCAGTAGCTTGAAAACATTTCTTTTTCTAGCTTCAGCATTAACCTGCTTCTGGCTGTGGACAAATCATTACCCCCACTCCTCTTGTGCTTTTCCCAATCATAAGATGGGAATAATGACCTTTGTCTTCCTGAAGGCTTCTGTAAATCCACAGATAGAACTTAAAAGAAGAACTAATTTTAGAGGTTTGTTTAAAAACCCAATGTTAAATAGCGTACAGTGTTTGAAATCTGGGAGGAGCATTTCAGGGATAAAAATCAATAAATCGGCCACAAATCCATCGATAACAAGCTTCAAATATTGTATAATTTCCAGCCCCACTCCTCCCACCTATTTTTTCTGGTTTGTTTTTGGTTTGGTTTGGTTTGTTTTTTTATATTTTGATGCCCACTCAGTAATTTCTTCACTTCTTAGTTCTCCAAAGTAAACGCGCTTTACTTGGTTTCGGGTTTTTTTTTTCTTCTATAATCAAATTACAGTAAAAATTACTGTCTTACCTTGAGGGGAGTCACATTTTCCATGGAAAAACGGGGACTTCTTCCATGACTATTCTTATCGTGGCATGTAGCAATAATTAAATTATAGGGAAGTGTAATTTCACTTTAAGACATTACAGAGTTTGGTAGAAGCAGACTTTGATTTGTTCAGATCGTTTGTGGGCATACTGATGTCAACAAAGCATGCATCCGCATGAGACATTATCCTTCATTTTGGCATTTGGGGTACTATTATAACAGTAATAAAGTGCCCTAGATCTTTGCAGGTTTTGCTTTAAATTGTATGCTGCACCCAAGAGAACATATTCAGCTTTATTTACTTTCCTGTTTATCCATATGAAATTTGTGTGAGTCTTGGCTCAGTCTGTGTGAGAAGAGAACTGTTACAAAATGTACAGAGTTCAAGAGTTTCTGGCAGAGGACTTTGGAAGAAGATACTGTACCACCTGCTTGCAGCTGATACTGCTCTAGAGTGTCCGCATTTCCTTTGTAAATTTGCGTGCAAAATACTTTTTTTTTTTTAAGATTTTTTAAGAAATTGTAATATTTCATTTTATTTATAAAAATAATCCAAGATGTGCGTGCCAGCGGGTTGATAACTGTTAACATCAGTGGAGGCCCTTCCATTAAATTTCATTTGGATTAGGATTGCACTCTGTAGTTATACATTTAGTGATGGTATAATTTTAAGAGTAGATTGGTAAACGTGTTGCAGAACATCCTGGGCAGTTCTGAGAACTTGTTAGGCTGTCGTCAGAGATACTTGAGGCTCCTTCTGCTGTGTTGCAAGCTCATCTGGAGACACCAAGTGCATGCCATCATTTAAATCCCTGTTTGAATTCCCACGTTTTTTTTCCTTTTTTTTTTTTTTTTTTTTATTATGAAGATTTTGCCACAGCTTGTGGTTGAGAGAAAAGAAAGTCTCTTTCTGGGATAGAGGCATGTATTTGCCAACTGGTAGCTGAAGGCCTGCAGAGTATAAGAAGCCAGGAAGGAACCTTTCTTCCTACTGCTTTTTCTTCTTTTTGTACTAAGACACTGATATCAGCAGTCCCCAGTTAGTGTCTTGCTTCATCTTACTGGTAGCATCTCTACTGTTACTATCAAGGCACATTTCAGTCCTTGCTTCCATCCTGGCCAGGAAAATGAGTGCTGAGGGAATAGCATGGGTTGCCTCACACCTCAAGCATGAACATGACATGACAAAGCCTAGCTTGAGCCTGCTGGTGCGGCAGCTTCAGGCCAGTTCTCTCAAGCAGCTGTGCTTTGGACGGGTGTTTTGCCTTTCCTGTTCTTTTTGCAGTGGCCAAGCTGAGAAATAGTTGCTTAAGTGACACAAACATCTTTAAAACATTAAATTAATCAAAATAGTTCAAAGAAACCTAGCCCAGTTCCATTATTTATTGATGTCCACAGCTGCCACTGTCTTGGGTACACAGCTTTGTGCATAGCTTCATAGGGAGTTAATTCCTTTTCTTATGAAAAGAAATTTATACTAATAGCATGACATGCTTCCTCAGTATATGCCTATCCAAGCTAGTTGTTTGTCCTTGTTAAGCTTTAGGACATAATGTTAGCTTCTTGGTAAACCATCTCTTTTTTTTTTGTCAGTGCTTTCATATCCTTAGATTCATTTCCAATGATTGTCATCAAGATAGTCTTAATTGAAAAAACATTTGCTGTAATTTTAGCAGCTGTTCTTCTACAATATAAAATCGTAGTAATTGTTTGTGTTCATTCAATACAAGGTCGCTGTAATGAAAAGTAAATGGTCTCTGTTAATGGGTCATATTCTCCCTGCTACAGTATCTTCTTGTCCATGAGTTGAAATATGAGATGTGCTGCTTAGTGGGTGAAATAAAAGTCAAAAGCTACTTTTGAACTCTTATTTGACTTTTTTTTATTTGACTTTTTCCTGTAATGTTTTTTTTCTGAAACTGAGTATCTTAACTTTGATTTTCTATCTAGTTGACCAACTAGATTTGTGACTTAATTGTTAAGTTAATGGTATAAGCTTATTTGTATAGCACTCAGGAGGACCCTGGATGATTTACAGAAACATGAGATCAAAAATATTTTTCGATCACTACAATATGTCCTCATTAAGGGAGGCTTACAAATGTGTACCTCTCCTTCACTTTCAGAACTTCTTTTTCTGGTTTACCAGTTAAAAGCTGTCATTTCCACTAAATCTTTGAACTTAAATTAGCAGCTACTAGACCCTGTATTCTGCCTGTCCTTTTTCCTTGACATTTCTGCATATTAATTCCAGATATGTGTGCATATATGTAGGCTTTGTTTTGTAAGTGTTACCTGTAGTCTCAGTTTTGGCACGAACATTTGAGACAGGTAATACTTCAGGGAGAACCAAAAGGCAATGCTAAAGCTGCTTTGCTCATGGTAGTATGGAAATGTGAGGTGTGTGCCAGTGGATGTATTTGCATGACTGAAACAAGGTGTTGTGACAAGGAAATGTAAGGTTGTAGTTTCTAAAGTATAGAGTTATGATGCTTGTTTGCTTATGGTCTAGTCTTCTTAATACAGTTTAGTAAGTGAGGAGCAATGATGTAATTCAACTACTATATTTTAAACTAACAAATTTATTTGAAGGCTTCTGTTTGTTTTATGAAAACTTTGGCACCCACTGAATTGACTAAAATTTGAAATCTTGATCTTTTAAATGGCTGCCGATTTTAGATGCACATTTTTGCCTTTATCAGATGTGAATCTTAAGTTTCCGGAAATCACACGTCTGGAGTTTCTCTCTGTTCAGAGGCATATGATTCTCCTTTCACGGCTGTTCTTAATGGAGGAGATTTCAGTCTTCCAGCAGAGGTATTGCCTTTGGCACTCTCTGTATGCAGCTCCACTTTTGATGGTGCTATTGTGGCTTTCAGCAGCTTCACAGCTATTTCCACTGTTTGAGTTTCTGATACAGAATTACAGCTGGCTACTACCTTCTTTTCTTTGTGGAAAGTTCTGAAAAAGTTCTTTAGAAGTTACAAGTAGTTGCAAGTATAGATATATTCAATTGAGTGTAGCGAGGGACAGATGTTCATTTGTGTTAAAAGATTATTTCATTTACTTGTTGATTTCTCAAGCCAACACAAAGATTTCGAATAGCTGAATATGCTCATATTTGCTGGCTACACCTGATAGCAGTTAGAGACAGACGGATATGCAATGATGTTGGAAGTAAGCAGGAGTTCGAAAGGAGGTTCATGAAATTTTAAGTACTGGTGAGGACTTGCAGCAAAAATCTCTGGATCTTGTAACTAGGGAATGAATTCTTCAGCATTAGCTAGAAGGGTCTGTTAGGAAGAGCATTCTGTTCTTATCATAGAACAGTTTTGGAAGGGACTTTCAAAGGTTACCTAGTCCAACCGCCTCACAATGAGCAGGGACAGGTTCAACTGTATCTGGTTGCCCAGAACCACATCCAGCCTGGCCTTGAGTGTCTCCAGTGATGGCACTTCTACCACCTCTCTGGGTAACCTGTTCCAATATTTTACTGCTGTCACAGTAAAGGTTTTTTTCCTCACATCCAGCCTGTATCTCCCCTCTTTCAGTTTAAAACCATCACCCCTTGCCCTGTCACAACAGGCCCTGCTAAAAAGTCTCTTCCCATCTTTCTTATAGGCCCCTTATAAGAACTGAAAGGCCACAATAAGGTCTTCTTGGAGTCTTCTCCAGGCTGAACAGCCCCAACTATGTACTGGTTAGAGCTTTTTTTTTTACTTCCTGACAACTCTTGAACATACCTTGCATCACTTTCTTTGACTTTTGTTCTGCAGTTTACAATACGGGAATTTGAGAGTTGGAAAAGGGTTTTGGTTTTGGTTTTTTTTTTGTTTGCTTTGTTTTGTTGGGGGGGGGGGTTGGTTGTGTTTGTTTTTTTTTTGTCTTAACAATTCAGAACATTCTGGTATATTACAAAAAAGCAGGGGCCAGCTGTCCCTCCTGAAGTCACGCCATCTCTGTCATCTTTCTGCCTGGGACTGCTGTCCTCTTTTCTTTTCTCCCTGCCCAGGCAAATCCTCTGTAGAGAAAGAAACATGTCTTTGTGCCTTGGAAGCAAACCACATCAAACACAGGATCTGATAGACAGCCCTCTCTGCTTCTTAATGCCTTTATCTCTTTTCCATGATTCTTCATATTTTAAGAAACATGTTTTTTTTTAAAAAAAATACTTTTTTAAGCTGGTCGTTTTCTGCTTCCTGGCAGTTTCTCAGTTGAAAATTTGGGCAGTTCATACCAGAAGATGAAGCAGAGCTGTTTCACTTCGCCCCTTCCCAAGACAGAAGAACATAAATTAACCTGAAAATGCAGTTTCTATTTTATATAGACATACATATCTATATGAAAAACCTGTCTAAGAATTTTGTACCATACTGCAGTGAAAAGATGCTATAAATAATTTCCCTATGACTTTGTAACATTTTCATATCTGAATTTTTTTTTTACATTTCCTTGTCATTTTGGTGGTAACTTCAGAAATTATTCCAGATCTCTTGGTTTTTGTTTTTTTGGGGGGGGGGGTGGTGTTTTTTGTTTGTTTTTTTTTTTGTTTTTCCCCAATCTTTGTATAGTTTCTTTATCCTTTTTACTTGCTCAGGAATCTCAGGTTGATGAAGTTGCAGGTCAGGAAATCTCTCCCTTCCCAAGATAGCACATTATTTACATTTCTATATTGGTACTGCTATAGCATATAAAGCAGCTATATTAAGATACTAAGCTGTAAAGTATTTGGCAGTGGCAGAGATGATACAACAAACTACCTGAGGCTACTGAAGAAATATCTGTATTCTTCTGTTGATTTGTCCAGGAAAAACAATTTGTTGTACAGTGGTGAATAATCTGTATTATCGAATATGTCCTGTTCCTGCCAGGTACTCAGTGCCCTTCATTTCCTTTTGAAGCCAAAAGGGATTCAACATGTTGCAGCTCAGTCCGTGCTGAATACTAATGTCTTGTTATCTGGTAGATCATTAGTATTTATATGTAAAATGGAAGCAAAATTAGTTTTGACCTTTAGAGCTAAGTCAAAAGTTTAATCCATGTCCATTTCCAATTTGGTGCACTAATTGTTCCCTTTCCTAATTGTGTCTAGGACAATAGTTTGCGTTCATTTCAGAGGTAAACGAAAATGTAGGTGATGCTTTGCATTCAAAATTTTGTTGGTTTTTACTTACAAATGAATTTCAGATCACTCAATGTGTCTTTATGGCTTCCGTTTAAAAAATAAATAATATAATAATAAAAGAAAAAATCAGAATTTCTGATGCTACTTCCCCTCCCTCCCAAACCAATGCATACATTCTGCCTAAACCTAAGTGGGATGTGATATGCTTTGTGATACACAGAGGATAAAAATCATTTTATGCGTTTTTTGGTTATTCAAGTATTAGTATTCTTGGCAGCTCTGAACAAGGGGAAAAAATGCCAGGATGAAATTAATAACTGTTTTGTTTCCATTACAGCTACACTGTACACGTCCTGCATTTTGTTGGGTATATTCCTCAACAGCAGCGTACCAATATTCTTTGAGCTCTTTGTGGAGACAGTCTACCCTGTTCCAGAAGGAATAACCTGCGGAGTTGTCACTTTTTTGAGTAATGTGTTTATGGGAGTGCTTTTGTTTTTCCTCACATTTTACCATACAGGTAAGAAATAGAAGCTTCTTTGAAAATATAATTCTCCAAATATTAAGCCATAACCTTGTCACTAAAGGGAGGGTTTTCATGTACGATTTCTGTTAATAATCAAATGTTGGAATCCCTCTGTGTGACTGCAAGGGAGAAGAACTTTGATGGTTCTTTTCTATATGCATGCAAAAAAAAAAAAAAAAAAAGGTGCTTTAGTGCAGGCTGCATATACTCATATTCTGCTTAGAATTTAGTGTAGCCAGAAACCATGAAGGTGCTATCATCATGGTTTTTATAAAGGCCTGAGCAATGTGACCATTATATCTTTGTGTCTGTGGGTGTTCAAAACCATAATAATGTGAATCCAATCTCATGCTTTGGGGTATAACTCTACCATCTAGGAGGGGCAGAGCAGAAATGCCCCATTTGTGGTCAGCTCCGTTCAGTGTGTTGCTGGACTTGCGATTGCAGGGGAGAGAGCATCTCTCAACCACTATTTAAAGATGAAATATTCATTCCTTTAGGTAATCGTAGAATCATAGAATGGTTAGGTTTGGAAAGGACCTTAAGATCATCTAGTTCCAGTGGCCTAATTGGGCACAACAGTGTTGTGCTTGGTATTTTCATCAAATTCTTCAGACCTTCTCATCTCTCAAGTATTATTTGATTCCTGGTAACTCATAATCATAAGTTTGAACTTGCTATTTAATAGACTACAATATATCTTATTACACTGAGCTGTAAAGTAAGAACCTATCTTGCATTCAACAAGTGATCTTTATTAATGGTTTTCAAAGATGCAGAGTTTTGATTTGTATTCTGTTGTTGTGGTAAATGTTTGCTTTATGATGCAAGATTTGTAAAGCAATACTTAATTCTTGCTTTGGAAGCATTAGAAATTGTGAGTTTTTATATATTATTATGAGTGCATGTCCTTCTTAAAGTGGTGTCTTTTATAACCAAGAGGAGACTGACAAATTTCAGAATTAAATGTGCTTGCAACATATGGGTTTAGGGGTGGTGGTGTTTTGTTCTTTTTTTGTTTGGGGTTTTTTGTTTTTGTTGTTTGTTTTTTTTTGATACTGACATTGAACTGCATTATTGTAAAACCTGAATTCCATCCCTGCTAGCCTTCGATGGTGTGATATTTGGTCTTCACTTTTTAAAGAATGCTTTTATGATTAATTAATATTAATTGGTGTGAACTCTGTTCACATGCACTGTTATTTCCAACATTTACACCTGAGCTGAAAAGATTACACAGAATATTCTGAGAATTTTTTCAGCATTTTTCAGAGTAACAGTCCAATGTTTGGAATTAGTTGATAACTGAGGATGGGGATAGTGTGTCTCGCTTCTGACTGAAGAATTATGATAAAGTGAAATTGTTCCCTTATAATAGGGTATTTGTGGCCATCTTTTGTCTCTAGTATTTCTTTCTCTAGCAGGTAAGTAAGTACATGCAAGTAAGGATAAACTTGGAATTAGTGTATCCATATACTTGGATTATTTTTCCCATTTCTTCAAAGGAAAAAAGTAATTTGTGCTTAGTACAATCCATTTTCTGTGATGCAGTTAAATACAAGAGTGTATGTAGTCACTGGGGGAGATTGATGCCAGTGCGTGCTATTGGCTCATTTGAGAAGGAGGAAGACTCCGTTAGAAGGTACATAATTTTAATTCATTTGATTCAAATGCATTCTCTGATGGCATTTAAGAAGCTTGCACATAAACCAGAACTCAGTCACATTTCTCATGTTCCCTTGGCCTTGCTTTTTGGGCCAAATAATCTTTCTGTAGTTTGAATTCCAGTTTCTCTTGTTTTCTCCTTGTACTCTGATACTGCAAAGGCTGTGAAAGAGCCAAGCCCTGGGCACTTTCCAGAGTACTGAAGATTTTAGTCCAACTAGCATGGTGGAGACGTAAACCTTTCTTAAGCTCAGCCTATTTGCAAGTGCTGTGCCCCAAGACCCACAGCCTCAGCCTCTGGATGTGGTTTCTTTCACCTTTTCTGCAGGGACTTCAAGGGGTTAAAAAAAAAGGCAAATCAACCTTTAGCCTCACACAACCAACGTGTTCGCGTGCATCACCAGTGCTGTCACAGATTCTGATTTACAAAAGCTGTGAAGGATTCAGAAGTTAAATTTGGTCTTTAGGATATTTGTGTTAAAGCTTGTTTAATTCAATTAAGCAAGAGTATTATAAGCAGAATAATAGCAAAGCATTTGCCTATTGACTTCTGGCATCACATAACACAGTTTTCTCCAAGCCTTAGAATAATTTTCTTAAGGTTTTAATAAGATTACTGCCTAAACAATACTGTAAGGTGATTTAGTGGATGTTGTTGAAGGTTACTGGTTTTGGAAAGTTGGGGGTTTTTTAGGCTTCTGTCTTTTGCATTGTGTAATAGAAATTGCACTTTTCCTTTTAGCGATATAAATTACAGATTTAAGAAAGTAGCAGTGCTGAAGTCCTGATTTTGATTAACTCAGGCCTTGAGGGAGAGTTTTGATTCTGTAAAAATAAATAAATAATAGTACTAAAGGAAACAAACAAACAAAAAGAAATGAAACATCATCTCCAGTAAAATTAATGTTTCTTCAGTAAATTGACAGATTAGAAAAAGGAAATTGTGCACTTGTTTGAAAAAAAAAAGCTGAAAAACTGAATAGAAGTGCTAATTAATAGTCAGATGTCAGATGACAGGATTTCTTGAATGCGGAACACAGGCTTTTAAGAGCATTAAATCTACATCTGAACATTATGTGTAACATCTGAAAAGAGGCTTCTGAGGAGCTGTTTTTGCAACTAGTTTTAAATTGAATTGATCGTACTACTCGCAAGTTTCTTCTGAGGAATTGGTTTTCCCTTCTTACACCATATAGCCGGTTTGAGTCAAAATCAAACCCTGCTCCTTCTCACACTTTTAATTTGTTCCAGTTTTCAATCCATGGAAATCAAAGAACTAATGAGTAGAGTCTTCAGAAGGGGGTTGTTCTCCATTAGCAATGATAGATTTTTCTTTTTTCCCCATTCTTTCCATTGACAGGTTGAATAAGGAGGATTAACATTAGCTGGAGGCACTGTTTTTTTTTTTTTTTTTTAATATATGTATGTATGTATGTATGTGTGTATATATATGTATATATAGGTATATATGCACAACTTATATGGATGGCTCTTTAAGGTGTATTTGGAGAAGTCTTATAGACCATGTTAACCATCTATCGATCTAAAGCTGTGAGGATTTTGTTCAGAACACAGCAATTCCCTTCTGTGATTTAAGCACAGAACATGTTTGATAACTCTGAGTCTGTTTCCTGGTTTACAGAGTTTTCCTGGTTCAACTGGTGCCTGCCAGGATCATGTCTGCTCAGCCTGCTCCTCATCCTGTGCTTCCGTGAGTCCTACGACAGACTCTATCTCGATGTCGTCGTCTCTGTGTGATAAGAGGGTTGGAAGAGACTGGAAGTTAACTTTGCAGTCTGCCCATCTGCCTGGATTTACATGGTGGAACAGCAGAAAAACAGAGAAATTACGAGACTTAATCGTGACTTTATTACAGAGGGTGAGGGACAGGCTGTTCCTGCATTCAAGACCACCTTGATTTGTGATAAACATGGAACTTTAGTGGTGATAATGATGCCAAAATGCACAAAAGAATATATCTAATGTATAGGTCCTGGTGCCAGAGCTGGGGCTCTCTATTTAAAAGGCTGTTGACGTAGCAGTGAGGTGTACAGTTTGTGTGTGTGGGTGTGCGTGTGTGTGTGCCAAGTCACAGTTACACACATCAGGGTACCAGTAATCTTTGGAGTCTTCTATCAGAATAGAAATAATGAATAATCTTAACAAAAGGGAAAAGAAAAAAGATAAAAAGCAAAAAAAAACCCACCCAGTTTTGTTTTTTTAAAAGAGCTCCCTTTTAAATCACTAGTCGTTTAACTAATGAATGTTCATTAAACAGTTAAGCCAAAATGATTTGGTGCTTGTACACTACATTTATATTCTAATAAAGTGATCTCTGATATAAGACACTGGTACCAGGGGTTTTAGCCATACTAAATATCCCAAACAATCCTTGCAGTTGTTAGAGGTGTTTGTTATCACCCTGGAGCACATGTAAATGATAGCTTTAGCTGCCACTGAAACCCAACTTTCACTCACAGTTGCCTCTGGAATACCACTGTGGCTGTGTATCTCCTGAATACAAAGCATCTGTGGTGTCTCAGAAGTTTACTGGAGAGTCACTGTTGATAAAGGTTAAGGTTTTAAAGGCCACCACTGTGTCACCTTTTTATCCTGCATCTCCAGTACTGCCTTTTTTACTGTGAAGACCTGTTTGTGCCACTGAATACTGTGGAAATGGATGTCCAAGACCCATTAGTTCTCTTCTGATACTCTAAGGCATGTGTGTTTTTTTAGGATTAGTTTATGATTGAGGGTGCCTAAACAATATTGTTTGTTAACTCAAATCTTTAGAATCACTGTTTGCTAAAAAAAAAAGTCTTTCTAGTTGATGAGGTACCCTGATGGCGGAATGACAATGAGAAATAGCTCATGAGTTTCGGCGTAATATAGGAAATATAATGCCAGCTCTTTTTAGCAGTACTAATCTATGGTCATTCTGGCCCTTACTTGAACAAAAATATTAAAGACACTTTGAATATTTTTAACTCAATATTTAAATCTGCTAATAATTTCTTAATTATATTCTTAGATTTCAGTTCAGCATCATTTACAGTATTTCCATATGTGTGTTCTGTGTTTTGTTAGGGGGGTGTGTTTGTGTGTGTGTGTGCGTACATGTGCATTTATGTATGCACAAAAAAAAACTTATATATATATTTTATATATAAGTTATATAAGGGTATGTGTTTACATAGGTTTATTTTAAGTAATCATGTCTCTGGATGGTGGTATGCTGCAGTTTGTAACTAAACTAGTAACTGCTGTGAACGGAAATGCATACATACACTGTCTGTGACACGACTTTTTTTCAGGGGGTGAATGATTTCCTATCATAGCAGTTTTATCACGGGGTGTGTGCACGTGTTGGAGGAGGCTGGTGTGCAGGGTTCTGCTCCTGTAGAAGTCTGACTCAAACACCCTTTGCTCCTGTGTGGGCTCTTCTCTGCCACCCTGGGGTGACACCAACCCTGGAAGCTCACTCAAATAAACCCTGAACTGAGCGCTACCTTTCAGACACAGATCCATTCATTCTGTCTGCTCTGCTGTTGCAGGGAGAATGTGCTACTAATACCTTTAACTCAGGAGTGTATCTGTGCAGTACAATAAAATGAGCTGTTCCCTCTTTTATGTTTTCAGAGCAATGGATGTATTTACTGTAGTAACAGAAAATTGACTTAGCTCGTTGCCCGTATCAGCTGCTAAATGATCTTTTCTGTCTTGAAGCAAGCTCTTCGTAGAAATGGATCTAACCTGCATTGGGATAACTAAATCAATCTAAGCAGCATGTTCAGATCTACTGGCATCATCCTCTTACTGTTTTTCAGATGAATGGTATTGACAGTCCAACTTCCTTTTTTACTATGTTTTAGTGCCTGAAATAGTTTCAATATCTAGTAGCTGCTGCTACTTACTGTCTTCTGAAACCAAGGATTGCTTGCCAAGTCTGGAGTTGCATTGTCATGGCAGAACTGGAAGCTTGGATGGCTCTTTAGAGCTCTGCTGCTGCAATTCACTGTAGCTATATTAAGATTAAAATTGCACAGCTCGGGCACTGTCCTGACTGACAGAGGTGTCTAAACCTTTCGCTGTTCCTGACTATTTTAAGATGGAGGAGCACTTCAGGCAATATTCAGGCTATAACCTATTTTGCCTCTGTTCCAGAAAGCAGTGAACAATTCGAAATACTTGTCTGCTGCCAAATGCAGACTCTGTACAGCCACGGAAGAAGAGTGAACACCTTGTTTCAAACTGTGCTCTTTTTCTCAGTGTGAATTGCTCACTGCTGTCCTGAATTTTGATGCTTTGGTAGAAGTTTCTGTGTGTGGTGGGTTGACCTGGACTGGACACCGGGTGCCCACCAAAGCCACTCTTACCACTTTCCTTCTTAACAGGACAGAGGAAAGATATTATAACGAAAGCCTCATGTATCAATATAGGGACATGGAGAAATCACCATTTACTGTCAAAGTAAAACAGACTCAACTTGAGGAAATCAAATCAAAGTAGGATCATGAGAAATGAGACCAAATCTTTAAACACCTTCCCACTCCTCCCTTCTTCCTGAGCCTAACTTTACTCCCAGTTTTTCTACCTCCTCCCTGCCAGCAGCGCAGGGGCATGGAAAATGGGGTTATGGTCAGTTCATCACATGTTGTTTCTGCTTCTCCTTCCTCCTTAGGGGATTACTACTCACACTCTTCTCCTGCTCCAGTGTGGAGTCTCTCCCGCAGGAGACAGTCTTCCATGAACTTCTCCAACGTGAGTCCTTCTCACGGTCTGCAGTTCTTTATGAACTGCTCCAGCATGGGTCATTTCCATGGGGTGCAGTCCTTCAGGGACAGACTGCTCCAGTGTGGGTCCCCTGCGAGTCACAAGTCCTGCAGCAAACCTTCCCCCAGTGTGGACTCCTCTCTCCATGGGCCACAGGTCCTGCCAGGAGCCTGCTCCAGCATTGGCTTCCCATAGGGTCACAGCCTCCTTGGTCACAGTCTGTCTTGGATCCAGCTGGCATTGGCTCTGTTGGACAAGGGGGAAGCCTCTGGCAGCTGCTCATAGAAGCCACCCTTGTAGCTCCCCCACTACCAGAACTTTGCCACACAAAACCAATATACTGTATTGGGCACTGTAGTGTGTGGTCCTAGTTATAGTCCTCCATGCGTCTGCACCAAAATGGAGATGTTATCCAGAGCTGGGCGGTGCAGCAGGGCTCTGCTGGAGACCTGCGCTTAGTTTTCAGTCAGGGCTCAACCAGAGGTTGCAGTATGTCTGAGGGAAACCCAAAGGATTGCTCCCAAATTAGTTGAAGTTGTGCAGGACACTGCTGCATTCCATAGACGGTGTTCAGGCCCAAGGATTTTATTAGATTAGCAAGTCTGGCTCAGGGCAGAGGTGAGGATTGCGAATGTGCTTACTGAGATCTCTGAAAAACATTTTATCCCCATCTGTGCCCAGCAGCAGCATCCTTCTGTGGAGGAGCATTCTATTCCATGTCATTAACTCCACCCGTGGGAGTATTTTTTGGATAAGGGCTACCAGTAGGTCTCCCCTTGTTTGGATTTACTGAGGGTCCAAGCTATAAGGATAACTGCACTTTACTGGAAATCAGTTTGAGACTGCAGGGAGAGCCCTAAGCAGTGCTGATACAATTGACTGTAGTGCAGAATAGGTGCAGAACAGTATTTCTCATTAATTAGTGAAAATCCTAAGTCTCTGTAACTCCTGAGTCAGTAACCACAGGGGTTTTTATCTAAATGAGGTATTACCTTGCACTGCTGTGGAGTGGCTGACACTGGCTGATGCTTGTGCTGTGACTGCCAGCAGAGCAAGGTGCCCTGGGCAGTCACAATATTTGTTTCTCTTCATGGCCTGTAAGTTCACGGCCCTGAAGAACACTTTTTTTCCAGCAGAGCAGAGCCCTCTAACATCTAAGTAGTTGTGCTATGCTTTATGTTGATAATGCTAGGAAGGATGCTCTGCAGTGACTGCTCTCTCTTAATGGTTCTTCATTTTCAGTATGGGCTGCTCTTCAGGTTTCTGCTTGGCTCGGTAACAACTCTTAGTTCAGCTTCCAGTGCTGCTGGGTTTTCTTCTTGAGAGCTGTGGAGCTGTGCAAGCTTTCATGCTGCTAATGAGGAAGCTCAGGGTTAGTAGATGTAGGCTCCGCTTAGGGCACAGTTTACTGCCTCATCCCTGCTGTTACCCATTAATTTCCTTTCGATTCCTTCACCCTCCCGCAGGGCCACCTGCTTCCCTGAGCTGGAGGAATGGAGAAGAGCTGCTGCACTCCCAAGTCAGCTTTAGAGGGATGGATTGGCCAATTGTGTACTTGATATACATAAAGATAGTGATGTTTAGAGAATCATGCAAGCTGGAAAAAGTGCAGACCCAAAGGATTTTGCACATATGTGAACAGATATAGTCTGTTATGAGCAGACTGTAGTTTGCCTGAAGCTTGTAATTTTAGCTCCCATACCTAGAGATACCAAGCTGACAGGCACCAGGTATGTTAGGTACTCAGGTTCACAGGATCATGGAGTTACTCCCAGCTATCTGGCAAAGCTGAAGTGGGTGGGAATGGTTCAACTTTAATCTTGGAGAAGGCTGGAATACCCCAGGCTGCATCAGTGTTTGTGCTGGTTATTCAGGGGCTTGCCAGGCTTGTGGATTGAGTAAGGGGAGGAGGTTGCCAGAGGGCTTTTCAACACTGAAATACTGCATTGAATTGATCAAATCCGTATAAAATTTGAACAGGGATGTTAATGCTTCGCTTGTTCTATAGTAAACTTGGTGACTGCATAGCCATACACTGCAATATAAAGAGGCAGAATTGATTAATATGTGTATAGTGGCTGTTCCTAGAAAGGGAAGTGATATTTAATTATGTGGATTGACTGAGATATGAATGGGAATTGCACAGTGGATATAACTGTCCTTTGATGCTATGGCAGCAGGGTTCTAATTGTTCATCTTCATTTCTTCCATTGGGTCACTTGCAAATATGAAAGAGTATCCATAACAAAAGCACATTTATATTTGTTAGTTTGGGGAGTTGTCCTTTATATTAGGTATGTGTCATTGTCATAACTTAGCAAGACAACTGCTAGAGTGGTATGAAAGCATACATGAATATTGGGCGTTAATTTGGTATTTAATGTTGGCGTGTCCATTCTCAGTGTTGTCGAAGCACCAGGCTTGAGGAGCAGGGATGTGGTGTGTGCGAGGAGGCAGCAGTGCTTATGGATACACAGTCGTGCAAGGGTAGATGCTGACCCTCCCAAAACAAACAAGAGCTTAATCATCTTATGTGGGTCCCCTCATTGGGGCTGGGAGGAGGAGAACAGCATATGTAGAGGAAAAGCTGCCTTGGGGCTGCTGCCTCCCTTCCAACAGAGGGAGAGCCTCCAGGCTTACATATGAGAGATTATCAGTGTCAACACAGGCTTCATTCATTTCCCTGCAGCCATTGTGCTGTAAGGCAGGTTGTAGGTGGCAGAGGAAGCCTTGCTTCCTCCAGGAGTGCAATTTCAGGCAGCAGAGGAGCATTGGCACAGAAGATGATGTTAATCTGCTTATATTTTTTGCAGTTCGTGTTTCAAGACAAGTGAAACTAATAAATAGAGGAAGAAATGTAATTGTCCAAGGTTTTGACAAGCAAAAGCAAGTATTTGTGCAGTTGTGCTGGCTCCTGCCTTTTACTTGGGATTGCAGAGTGTTGGGAGCAATTCATGCCCTCATGGAGTGTGGGCCCACTCTTGCAGCCCTGTCATTCATCCTGCTGCTGCTCAGCTGCAGCAGTGCTGTGGGAAGCTTTGTGCCTGAACTGGGGGGGGGGGAGGGGGGCAGCGATTGGGGCAGAGGGGGAGAAGGGAAGCGCTGCATCCAGGATGCCGAGCAGTGTGACCCTGGTAGGTTACTTGTGCAGGAGGGATGTCTTCTGCAACCTCAGTTAAGCAGAGTCTCATTTTCTGGTTCCTCAAGGATGAGGTTCTGACCTTCGTTTTGTGTTTGTGACATGATTTGTGCCGCAGGAACAGCTGGGGCACGTGGCTTAGAGGCGCCAGTTTTCCAGGGTGTGGCAGAGAAGGCAGGTAGGACTTGCTGTCTGCAATAACAGCTTTTCCTTTTTCACGGTCTCTCTCCTCACTGGCTCCCCGCATGTGATTTCTCTGCTTTTACATCTTGTCAGACACTTGCTTTGTGTTATTACATGAGGAAAATACCGTGAGCAAAACCTTGCTTTCTTTATGGGGAGCTTATCTCTTTTGGCTCAGGCCACTTCTCTGACCTTAGCCCATCTGTTTGTAAAAGCCAAAACTACCCCAACCCCATGTTTTCCTGGGTATGTGCAGGTTTGTGCGGTGCTGGAATGAGTAGCGAGAGCCCAGGTGATGTGCTTGCTCAGTCACAGAATGACTCAGAGGCTTGAGGAAGAGATGCTCATGCATAGGGTGCCTCGCTCTCCCCACCTGTAAAAGGGGAGAGGGTGCCTCATGTCCCTCCTCAGGCAGGGGAGGTCAGGGCTGGGAAGTGCTGTGGGATCCTGTGAGGGATGGTAGCTGGAGCAGGGGGTGGGGAATGCCCTGGTTAATGGGCTGCATGTCCTCATCCTTTCGAGCCTTCTGTGTGGAGTGCAGACCCTGGTTTTCTCTGCATGGCCAGCATAATCTATAAGGCATAGACTGTATGTACTGTGAGGGTAAAACCCCCCTCTGGCAGACAGGTTACATTAACAAACTGGTGGGAAATGGTAATGCTTAGGGAAGGGATGCTCGGAGAAACAGTCTGCCTCGGGCAGTCAGGGGGTGAGATGCCTCCAGGCTGGAGGCATCTCTGGATGTCCTGGATGTGCAGTCAAAGCCACGATGCAAACTCAGAGCTGGCTGCCTTGCTCCTGCCCCTGCCGTGTCCCGACCTTTCTGCTGCCCTCCAGCACCTGGACTGAGAAAGTACAAGGCATCCCCGCGGGCAGCAGGGCACTGGCTGCTGCTCCCCCCAGGCACAACAATGTGTTTTCCAAGTACGTTTATTTTCTCTGCCTGTGATATTTGCTAGATTAAAATCTCTTTTTCCCCGATCAAGTTTAATGTTTTCTGCTGTGCATTTGAGAAAAAAGTACTTGATAAGGTGCAAAAACCCAACTTTTAATTAAGTGATGCACCTAGCGGGGTTTTCTGAGCTGTGTGAACATGCAGAGAAGGAAAAGGGTTTTACATGTTGGAGAGCATCTTTGTAAACTATCCTTGACCTGTAAGACTGTTAGATTTTACTGGAGTTTGTATGCATTTTACTTTTGTAATTTTTTAAATGATTTGATAGAATTTTATTTTAGGGCAAATTCTACTTTTTGTATGCAATATTCTGATGCGGTGTATTTTTATGTTTGAGGAAATGATGTTGAAACCACTATATACTTGTCATGTAACACATCCACTGTGTCATTTCTTTCTAAAACTGGAATCTGACCATGAAGTGCGTGTTACTTTACGTACTGGTTGTTGCACATTAAAGAGGTTACTCAGACTTGCTGCCATCACTGCTCATTAATTCCAAGAAAATACAGGGAAATGGTTTGTTTCTGCTATAATATTGCCAAAACCCACAGCAGATACTGCTACGAGATGGGGGCTGCTTAGTCAAAATGAATGTAACTTCATCCAACACCCAATCCATCCAAGAAGAAGATTTCCATTGCTTCTGATGAGGCTTTTGGTGGAAGTCTGACCCTGCTATAGGACTGAGGGTCCCCACAGACTGAGGGACATGGGGTGGGCTGGGGCAGAGGGGTCCCCCAGCAAGCAGGAGAAGGCACTGGGGGCAGTGGCAGCCTGCGCTGCCCCACTGCATCATCCTGACTGATATCACACGCTGCCTCATCAGGGCTCACGGCTCGGGATGCTGTAAGCCGGTTGGTTTTGCTGGTTCCCACTGTTAACATCTCTGTTTGGGCTTTTGGGAAGGAGACCCCTCTCAGTAACCTTCCATGTGTTTATTCTGCATTTAATGGAAACGAGCCCAACCCGGGATCTCTTGATCCGTGTTTATTTTCTAGGACCAGCTCTTTAGTAACACCCCGACTACTTACCAGGGCAAGTTTAAAATAACCTCATGTCCTATTAGTGCTGGGAAGAAATCTGTCAACTCTCATATCATGGAATAACTGGGCCCCACTATTCTTAGCAACAGTCTCTTTCCAGGCTATATATGGGAGCTTAAGGCTCCTCTAATGATACAGTCCCGGTTGTATTTATCTTTGCAGTGTTAACGGAAACCTCCGTCCTTTGGGGGGATGAGAGCCAAGGGTCCATCTCAGCTCCCCAGTGTAGTTCTGTGTGTTGGTGAACCCCCTATGCTCATTCCTTCTCAGAGTTGTTTTGGGGGTGTTTTACACAGTTTCTACTTTGCTGTTGTCAAAGTCTGCTGTTTCCCTGGCACAGAAATGATTTATTCTCTCTCTCCCGATCAGCACATCCTGGCTGGGTGCTTGCTGGTGGCTCCCAGTGTGACCACGTTGGAGTTACGTGTGGGTAGATGGGCCCTGTGGGATTGCTGGGCTGAGGCCAGGCTGAGTGCAGCCACTCAGTGTTGTGCCCAGATGTGGGGGAGCTGCTCAGATACCTCATATCTAATGGCCTTGGGACCAGCAGAGGGTGGGGGGAAAAGTCAGGGCCACTTTAAATGCTACTTGTAGGTGATTTGGCATCTCTGGGCTGCACCCTAGTGCCAGGGGATGCTGACGTTGGGGAAGAGCAGCAGCAGCACCCAGATGCAGGCGGGCAGCCTCTTGCTGCAGGTCATGAGGGTGAAGTAGCCACAGTGTTTCACCTGCTCCAGGAGTACGGTTTGGGCTGCAGCTGGGAGTTTTGTCAGGAATCAAGGCATTCTCCTGTACCTGACAATGCCGCTGCTCTGCACCCATGGCTACATGAACACAGATTTGCAACCAGGGCATTTTTTTTCCTATAGCTTGGGCTTGTGCAGGCAGAGGGGAAGCCCGGTGGGTGCATCATGGCAGGGCTCCTCATGCAAGCTGCCAGGACCAGCACGCTCTCCTCTCCCAGTGTGGGCCAGTCACCCAGTGAAGTCATCCTTGGCTAAGGTCTGCAAAATCCATCTTAACTCTTCAGGAGCCAAACGAGCATGGGTGCATGGGAACACAACAGTGGGGCAGCCTCAGCTGTCAGCAGGAGGCTCTGCAGCAGGTCCCATGGCTGCAGTGAGGTTTTGTTTGGAAGCTTTCTGCTTTGCTCCATATCTGCAGGCACGCAGAGCTGGTGGTGCTCTGGAGGTGCACTCTTCTGGTGCCACCAGGATGCTGGACCCATGCCCTTGGAGCTGCAAAGGCTGTGCTGTGAGTAAGCCTGTCCATCCGTTTGTCCATCTGTCTGCTTGGCCACAGACCTACAGCTACAATAAGTACCTGGATTAGGTGCTAAAAGGCAGTGGACAGGGGATGCAAACCTCCCCACAGGCAGCATACAGGAAAATGCCGCCTTGGTTGGACCCCAATAATTGGAGCTCAGGCAAGCACAGGCAAAGGAAGTACGGGTAGCTGATGAAGTGACCCTACAGTGTTCTGAACCTCAAACTCTGCCCAGGATTCTCCTAAACCTGCCTTTGGTGGCAGAGCTGAGGATTGGCATTGTGGGCATGGCTTTGCGGTTGAGTTTTGATGCTGGTAGAAATCTGGTGGGCAAAGGAAAGAGTGGCTCTGAGGTTTGTGGTGGGCAGGTGAGCAGCAGACATGTGAACTAGAACATCACAACCTCATACAAAAATAACCTCAGCTGGCTCTGAAGTGCAGAGGAGACCTTTTTGAGAGAGATTTTCAGAGTAGGTCTCAGCCTACGCTAAAGCATCACAGCCCTCCCTACCCTCCTGAGGCCCTCAGAGATGACTTTTGTTTGTTTGGCTGGGGCAGAGCTGTGTGTCTCCAGGCTGGTGGTGTGCAGAACTGATGGGAGCATAAGCCTGTACCTCTTAGCCCCAGACCCTCCCTCCTTGGCCGCTGCAGCACTCAGCGTGGTGGGGACTGCCAGGGACCAGCTGCTCCCCAGGATGGGCGGCCTCTGCCAGGCAGACGGTTTTGTCTCTTCCAGCGCCAGAAGAGGGACGGATCAGCAGAAGATGGGAGTAATTGCCAGGAGGCTTTCAGGCAGAAAGCGAGGCTCTCGCCCGCGGACAGGGTGATGTAAGTCAGCATGTAAATTGGGTACAACACAAGAAACTCAGCCGAGCTCCTACCGAAACCTATGCACAAAAAAATGTTGTTGCTAAGAAATGTGAAAATAGAAAACAATAACGTGGCTCCTGCCAGGGTAATAAAAGTGTATCAGCGTTAAGTGTGCTCTCTCGTACAGATCGCTTGTTCGTGACAGTAAATTAAGTACTGCAAAAATGGGTACAGTTTTCTCTGTGGCCATTGATGCTTCACATCATGGAAATAGCAAATGTTTCTGATGGCTGCTCATTACCCTGTGGTTGAGAGGGGAGCAATCCATTGCTGGCTCCATTATTTCCATGACAGCAAGGAAATGACTATGGGAGGTTTAAAAATGAAAGAATACAGCAAGGTTAGATGGATAGAGCCTCAACAGTCTGTTGCCATTCACCATGGTTGATGCTAATGTTGGGTCTCTGAGGGACCATGCTGTCTCCAGAGTGATGGAAAACCAGGACTACCTTTTGGTTACAGCTAATTGCCGGTTCATAAACTGTAAAGTTTGACCTTCAAAGTCTCCAGAAAAGCTGATTTGAAGCATGACAGTGTTGCAGCACAGCTCCTCAGCCAGGAGAGCACTTGAGTCTCTGCCATGGCATGGATAACACAGAGCCAGTCACAACAAAAAAATGGGTGATAAAACTATGGTCACAAAATAAACCTGCCCTATGAGGCAGTGCAAAGCAGGAAAAGGCAAGAGTCTACCCAGCTGCCAAGAGCCATTTCTATCCCAACAAACAAAATTACCTTGGCCTGATTCAGTCCTTTCCCCAGAGGAAAACGGTTTGATTTGCAGATATCGTGAGTAGATTGAATGATTGAAATGTGACCAAAGATGGGCTGGGGAAAGGAAAGGGGGTAAGGGGGGAGGGGGGTTGACCTAGGAAATGGGCCAATGTTTTACCCTAATGGCCTGCTTTTCTCCATCTCTGACTATGTCAGGAGTTAATTGTCCTTACCTCCCATGATGTGCGTGTGGTGTTTGGTGGGGTTGTGTTGGGTTTATTCTTTTGGAAGCAGGCTTGGGCAGTGCTGAACTCTGGCACCTTCTTGGTTAATTCAAACCTCAGCTTTTTTAAACAGAAAGTGCAGTGACAACTTCATGAGTGGCTTTTTATGAATGAACAAAACAAACCATGTCAAAATGCTTTTCAGCTGTTAGCATAACAGCATTTTTAATGAATCTCCAAAGGTTTTGGTAATTGAGCTCTGTGTTGAAGAGTGTGTGGTCTCTTGGCTGTACGCTCAAGGGGAAAAAGCACAGGAGAAGCCATGGGAAGCAATGCTTTTGCATAGGAGTGTCAAGCACATTGAGGAAGTGCTTGCTCTGTGCTGATCTCTGCACTGGGGTGGCTGTTCTGGATTTAAGTTGACTCAGAGGCTGTTGCTGAGCCTGGGGACTCTCCTCTGCCTGGTCACAGCAGCAGGGCTACGTGGGCTCTCTTACATCAGTGAAATGCCTGTGTGGCAGAGGGAGATTCAGGAGTCAGGGCGAGGGCTTCTGATCATGTCATGGTGGTGGGACTGGGGACACTGGTGGGGTGCTGGGCACTGGTCGGGGTGCTGGACGCTAACAGGGGTGCTGGGCATAGCAGTAGGAGACCCACTCAGGGCTTTTCTTTATCGCCACAGCCTGAGTGCTTCCTGAGGAGGGTGCCTGTGTGGTGACCTGCCCAGCCATCGCTCCAGCAGCGGGTGAGGATCGTGTATGAGGGGGTCGAAGCCTTGCTAAAAATCAGGCTGCTGGTTATTTCTTATTTCTGCACTGCCTGCAGGATGTGGTGCCTGTTCAGAGGAGGAAATTAACTTGATCTGGCATGATGTGCTCTTGATAATGCCCTGGTGCCAGCACGCAGCTGCTCAGCCACTCTTGCAGTGGTTATAGCTTGCTCATCCAAGTCCTTGCTCCAGTGTTTTCACTGACATTGACTGGGCTAGGCTGCAATTCCCTGCCCATCCTTTCCTCCATAACACCATGTGCTGGCTGTGCACTTGCCCAGGCAAGTGCCCCACCAGCCAAGAATGTTTCCAAGTCTTGATGGGAAAGAAAACACCAGCAGAAGGGCTTCATATGGAGGGCCGGGGCTAGGACAGGTTTGTCAGTGCCACATCCGGCTAAAGGCATCCCTAAAGCATTTACTGTAGAGTCCTGTAGGAAACATGCAGACATGGATCATGAGGGACCTGCTGCTTTTACCTGTTCCTCCATTTCTTACACTGACCCCTGAGTGGTACCAAAGGCAGGTTGGAGGGGGGCTGTGCAGCCCTGGGGCTCTGGCTTAATAAAAACCTGGTGGGGAAC